AGCCAAGAAGTGTCATTACAGGCGACATTACACACGGTACATACGTCGGAATGATCGTTTCAATAATCGTGTTACATCGTGCATCACGAAGCTCAAATCAAACCGGTACGTTTTGATTTGTTCGTCGTGCACGGTCGGACATTCGTGGAATTAATTTACATGTGCGTGAGGCGCGCACCGACGCGGCACGAATTATTTCAGTGTCACAACCGGAAATAATAATCGTTGCCATATCTGGGAAGCGTGATTGAATTTCATCATCGAACTTGTTCTATGCTTGCCGTACACGATTTTGAACACGCGAAGCACAGAAGTGAAGCACTAAAGATATGTAGGGGAAAGGTTCCTAAAACGATCCCTTTAAGGCGTAATTTATATAAAAAATACAAATGCTCATTATTTAAATAAAAATAAAGTAGTTTTTGTAAATTAGTCTATTTATCTTATCATTGGCTTAAATAAAATTTAGCTAGGTAATCAATTATATTTTTTATTCACATTTCTTTGAAGGCATACTTAAGAATCATTTTGTAATGTATGTGTATAAAATGATCCCCGGGGATCATTTTATACCTATTGATAGTAAATACGACGAACATTAAAAAGCATTTCAGTTATTACATTTTATTTAAATAAAAACAGCTTCGACGCGTTGTTTTTCTTTCATACTGATAGGGCATTGTTCTAACCAGAGATGGGCAAACTCATTATCTAGATAAAAAGTTTTGAATAACGAATAAAAGATAAAGAAAAGTATTTCGTCATTTCTAATTGTGTAAACGAAGAAATTTCAATTTTTATAAAAAAATAATACTTCTTTATGAATGAATCGACATTTGTCGAACCATTATTTAATCTCATTAACTGTTTAAAGCTCAGAACGACACCCTTAGATACTACTGGTTTTCACTGTGTATTATTCGAATGAAATTCTGCCCAACTCTGGTTGTAACTAAAACAAAAAACAAAAATATAGCATATGGGTAAAATGACTCCTGGGATCATTTTATCCTACTAGAGAGGGATCATATGACCCCAAACATCCAACTCACATTCAGTGGTTGAATATAACATCAACTTATTACATGCGGTAACGAAACATTAATTAACTTATTATTGAATTGTGATTACATCCGCGCAAGAAGCAGCTGTCACATTAAACCGTTTATGACAAAAGTTACACAACATTGAAAAAGACCTTATCTTAGATAAATGGCAGTAATTTTTAATTTTTCTTGTGGACAACACACAGAGCACTGATATTCACATGGCACTTCGAGCAACGACTAGTGACGTGCGGGGAGAACTATTGTAGAACGACATTACGATATAGGACCACTAATAACCACAGAGCAGCCAGGAATCATTTTACCCCGAGGGATCGTTTTAGACACCTTTCCCTATACAGGACGTCCCGCGTAAGTGTCGCCAAAAGCTTTCAAGACTTCCCTTGAACTTTAGGAAAAAAATTGTGTGAAACAAAAGTTACACTATAGTCAAGTGTACATCACTTTCGAAAATCAGAGTTTTTTTTATTCACATTGTTTTCGGAAAAATAGATGTTGCCTTTTATTGTTTAAATGAAACCATGGGATTTTTTAAATATTTTTCATGAGAACGAATCGTAACTAATCCAACGACTATAAATATGTTAAGGAAAAAAATATAAATAATGTAAAAGAAATTCTGGGAAGTTTTGAAACGTAGTGGTACATCAAGGCATTCGCTTCAGAAACAATCGAACGCTGAAAAGTATTATACAAAAATGGACCACGACGTTACATAACTTCAGTTGATTTGTTTTACGTTATTTATGTTTTTTTTTGTAACATAGAGTTGATGCACCAGTAAATGAACACGTATCAGTGTATGATTGTTCGAAGGCTCCTCGATACAGACGAGAGGTCCCCAGGTGTAACGCTGACTATTTATTGAGGTTTAGCACAGTGATACAGTTTGGAATTCTCAAGCAAATGATATTTGTTGTAGCTGTATGTGGCCATTAGTTTATGAAATATTACATTTTCAGTGCCGAGGAGCCTTCGAACACTCATCGAGGATTTACTGTATGTATACGAAACGAGTATATTCAGTTATTAAAATAAGCAAATCATTAAATATTGATTTTTTTCAATTTCTTGACCATATTCAAACAAATATTTATTTACTTAATATTGTTCATTCACTGGTGAAACCTGTATTTTTCCTATTTAATTTAATTAATTGCATTTTTCCAAGTTATCAAATTGAAATCTATATGTTATAAAAATTTATAGATATTCAAAAATCTCATTTTCATGTGCTTAATATTTATTAATATGTACTATTATCACTTAAAATTCAACTTTAATAGTTGCAAAATCTCTTTATTCATTCAATCAGTGCGTTCACCTTATTTAAAATATTTAAAAAAATGCTGTAGTTTCATTGAAAAAACAAAAGGTAACAACAATATCCCCGAAATAAATGCAGATAAATATACTCTAATTTATGAAAGATGTGCATACTTAAATATATGTAGTTCAAATTTACTTTAACAAAATTTTTTATAAAGTGTGAGGAACGTTTTGAAATTTCGTGACGACAATATGTGCGACATCTTGTGTATATATATCGTGGTATTAAAATAATGCGTTTATTAAGACGTTCACTTGGAAAATTCGGACGGTTGAGACAATATTATGCATTAACTCCATCTATTTAAGTTTTGTTTGTTTTCGTATTAATGGTGTAATTTCTAATGTAACTATGTACATGTTAACTCTTGTATTTATTACGCGAGTGATTTGCCACTAATTGTATTTAAAAGACTGCCAACGAGACTGTTCAAAAGCTGATTGTTTCATCGCGTAATTCAATAGCGCTGGTTACCGGTGACCATCATGACGGCCACCACGTCAAACACAAGGGGATTGCGATTCTCCCACGGTACAATCTAGATCACGGTTACGATAGATCATTTAACGAGCCAATAAAAATTATATTAATAAGTGTATGTAAGTAACAAAATTTGGGAATCAATATTAACAAGATGTTATCTCTTGCGTGACATACAGTGGGTGACAAAAGTATTCGTACACTCTTTAAAACGAAACAACTTTTTTAAAATTGGTCCAATGACTTGAGTTCTTTTGTAACGTTAGAGACATTAGATTAGTAAATGATCTGTAAAAATAATTTGAGAAAGTTGCAATTGGTTGGAATCGCGAAGAAAATTGGAAAGGTCGTTTTTTACAACTTTTTAATCTGAGGCTATAATGAAAATGTAATAAATACATATCAAACATTTATATTAGTTATATACATACTGAAACGTTCATTAAAATCGGTTAATACAGAAACGAGTAACAGGCATCGAAAGATGTAAGAATCTTTAGATGTATTACAGTTGTAGGTCAAAAGTCACAAAAAAACTGCGATTTTCAACATTTTTAATCGTTTGTATCTCATAACAACGTTATCCGATTTTGATGAAATTTTCAAAATGTATATAACTAACATAAATCTTCGATATGTATTTATTAAATTGTCATTATAGCCTCAGATAAAAAATTGTAAAAAACGACCTGTACTGTTTTCGTCACGATTCCAACCAATTGCAACTTTTTCAACTTTTATTTACACATCATTTAGTAAACTAATGTCTCTAACTTCACAAAAGAGCTCAAGTCATTTGGACTAATTTTAAAAAAGTTGTTCCGTCTTCAAGGGTGTACGAATACTTTTGACACCCACTTGTATGTACATTCAAAACGCAACGAAGACACAAAGAGGAATGGTCATTTTCGGCCCAAATATTATCCATATAAACTGACAATTCTCCTTTTCGTCAATGAAATTCGTTTATGAAACAAGAACTGAAGCAAAAGAAGTAAAGAAATCTAACGATGTTGTATACAAGTATCTCTAATCTTATAGTAATTTTAAACAGAAGTGCAAATATTAATTAAATATCAGTGGTTTCGAAATTTGCGGAACTATAAGCAACCATACATCTCCTAAACTCTAAACGATTATGGCACCATAAAAAAAACGTCTGCGTCATATTTAGCAAAAGAAGGAAGCGAATAAATTTCACTAATCTCGGAATAAACTATAATCGATGTGTTATGAATTCAACCATTAAATGACAGAAGATGCTACGTAAAAATCGGGAAGAAAGAAAAACTTGTTTACCATAGATCGCGAAGAGGAAAGGATGGGTTTCTGCAATTTCGTCTGACTAAATGCTCGCTCCCAAATTAAGCGGTAATCCACGGGACTGTGATCATCGTTTATTACGAATAAAGAGTTACATCCAGTGACCTTGTTACTGCCCACAGAATGATGATTAACGTTGAGTACTATTACGTACGAGTCGTGTTTAATGCAACCTTTAATAAATCCATATTACAGGCAGATTTAGTAACGGCGTTTTTGTTCGTTGAACAAGTGGATTGGAACATGTATAGATTAAAGGGAGTTAGATACCGAGGGAGCCGCTGGATGACATAATAAGATTAGCAATAACGAGTAGATGTTATCACAGCGTTGTATATTATTTTCAATTAATTACATTGATACGAACTTGTAGTCACAAAATCATGGAAATGTTTTATTACCAGCAACTCTGCGTTTCACTTGAAATTATGAATAATACAAACGAATAGTTAGATAAATTTATTATGACTGATTTGAAGTAAATGTCTGATTAAGTATTTTATATATTAAATGGAGAAGAAAAATGTATAATTGCATTAACACCAACAGTCTATGTAATTGTTATACATATATTACGGTTTGGAGTTATTAGATGTACCAGAAATAACCAACTATTCTTTTAGCGAATTTTAATATTTATTTTTAAGCAATATACAAATTATCATTCTCGGTTTCATACATTGAATTTAAACTATATTGTCGTCGTATCAAGACAAAAGTGAGACATTTATTGGTACCAAATAAATTATAATGTTTGTTTCTTTCAGTAAATGTGAAGAATATTTTGTTTAAACTTTCAGGTGTGTTCTTGATACCTTACTTCTTGATACTTATAGTCTGTGGAGTACCATTGTTATATATGGAACTTAGTATTGGACAATTTACTCGACGAGGACCGATCGGTGCTCTCGGTCAGATTTGTCCCTTATTTAAAGGTACGAAAAATACTAATAAAACACCCCGGTACAAGTACAATAATTTGGTATTCACAGAATTGTTATCAAGTTTCTATAACTGACATTCTACTGTACTTTTTTCAACGTTTTATTGCAAAGCTGGATTTATTATAATTGTTCATTTTAATGTCATATCTAGAGTGCGGATGTTATTTTTATATCTCTGTATCGTTTATTATATTATTCATTTATTATTTATTATATCTCCCAATTTGCAAACCATAGTAAAATAACGATGTTAATAATGTTTAATACCATGTATATATTATTGTTAACGTTTGGAAGCCTTTCTGGTACAGCACATCAAAATTCTATCTACTTTTAATTTTTTCATGTACATACTGGTATACAAGATTTTTGATCTGCATTAAATTCCGCAGTCCAGTTATATCAGTAAAAGGAACTCGCAGCGTTTTTTTGTTGGAATTGATTATTATTTCTTTAAACAGGGGCCGGCTTATCGTCGGTAGTAATATCATTTTTGATGTCGACCTACCATAATGTGATAATAGCCTACGCTATATACTATTTCTTTGCGGCGTTCAGAGCAAAACAGCCATGGTCCGACTGTGACAACTCGTGGAACTCTCTGGCCTGCTGGTTACCCACCTACAGTGTCACTGACAATCGTACCCGTCCGAATGCTTCGAGAACACCATCCGAAGAATTTTTCGAGTAAATTATTTTTTTTTTCACAACTACAGACCTAATTATCGATTTCATATCATACCATGGATGAAAAGATCGTTTCATTTAGTGGAGAATGAATCGTAACCTTACGACAAGACTGTGGATTTTATGCATTTATACACATCGAATATCCAATCCTCTGAAATTCAATATACAGTAAAAAGTTTCTAAAAGTTCATTCAGGTTTTCTTTTTATTTCGAACCTACTAAAACCTAGACCTGGGCAAATTGTATTTGAAATGAAAATAAGGAATAACTATTTGAAATAAAGTATTTTGGAACTTTATTTTCAATACTGTTATTTGAAAATAAAAATATTATCGATATATTGAACTAATAGCAATTTCAAATAATGAATTATTTTGTTAGTTTCGTTTTTCAAATTTGGCAAAAGTAATAATACTAAAAATAATATGCAACGAAAAGATATTATTTTAAGAAATTTTTACAGTAATTTTCTGTAAGCAGAACCCGCTGTTCAAAAAACTCATCCGTGAGATATTTTTGCTTGGGCTCATCTAATATTGTCACGAAAGAAAATTATCATTCCACAGGTGTGAAACAAAAAAAGGGATGTTACTCTTCAGAAAAATGTCGATAAACCAAACTCAGACCTAGTCACCTGATATAATTTCGAAGAAGAATTTCACAATTGTTTCTAAGAATTATTTCAAATGATTAGAAAATAATATAACATGTCATTTGAAATTATATTAATATAATTATGAAATGAAATGACATGTTATTTGAAGTAATATTTCAAATAATGTCATTTCAGAAGTGCCCAGGTCTACTAGAACCCTTAACAAGGTACATAATTTTTTTTTCGTCCAATTTTGAAAAATTAGTCCATAGATTATGCACATTTTCATAAACATTCGTAGTCAACTTGTCACTGATGTTGATGCAAATATTGATTTTCATGAAGTGTTAGTCATTTGAATAGAGGGTTTTGTCAGGTTTCAAATAAAATAACAATCTTATTAAAATTTACTAAACGTTTTCCTATACCGAGTTCAAACAATAGTGTATAGTATGCTATAAATGTATAGTCCGCAGTTTACTTACGACTATTTAATATATTTCAATCGATAACAAAGAAATTTTTCAACAAATAATAAACTAAAATACATTCAAACTTAACCTTGTGAAAACCTTTAACGCTTTATTTAATTAAAGATTGAATTGATTTGAAAATTCCTCTCGAGTCTTGCTTTCGAGAATATAACTCTTAGTAAATTTGTCAGACTGAACCCTCTACTGCCCAGTATAACTTTGAAGTCACATACAGTCTGTTTCACAAGAGCGTTGGACGATATCTGGAAAAAGAATTGATATTTTTTAAAAATTCAGAAACAGGCTTATAGTAATCTGAAACACTACAACGCAATTACCTAATATAATACATAATCCCCTTCATTTTCAAATATAGCCTCTATGCTTTTGCTCAAGTTTTCCGCATACCCTTCAGGGAATGTCCTTCATATTTGTTTAATTTGGCGGCATAGCTTCTTCAAAGTAAATACAGGCCTTCCTCGAAGCTTAAGCTTGATAATGCTGGCAAACATTCTCAATTGGATTAACATCTGATGATTGTGAAGGCCAGTGTAGTGTTTGGATACCATTTTCCAGAAAGTGCACAGCCGGCTACAGTTTTTTGGATCATTGACTTCTTGTAACACCCGAAATGAATTATCTTCACCAAACCACTCTCTAGTAGACATCAATAGACCTTTTTGTTTTAAAAAAATTCAACATTTTTACAGAATTTTTTCAAATTTTAAAATGGTTTTGTCCTCCCTATAACTTGTCATACGTGCTTTCCCTCTCGTTTCAAAATTATCAACATTCTTTGAAGCCCTGTACCAATTCACCCACTTCCTTACGACTTTTGCATGTAACGAGCTGCCGCCGTTAAGAAGATCAAATTTGGATGCGTGCAAAGAAACACTGCTTCAAACCGTTTGACGCACGCTACACTCATTTTGAAATTGGAATGTTTACAATGACAAAAGAAGCCGAACTGGCAGATTCTGAATGACGCGTCGCAGTGTTTTAGATGTACTGTAAGCTTGTTTTTGAATTTTTTTTAAAATATCGATTATTTTTCGAGATATCGTTCCAAAGCTCTTGTAAAACAGACTCTATATCAGTCTTACCTTTATCAAGCAAATGGTAATCGCTATATTTCCCCATAGTTGATCATAGTAACTTAACACTTACAATATAGTTATTTATTTGCAAATGCCCTACAGCACAGTCTATCCACAAACTTCCAACCCTATTTTAAAATGAAAATATTAAAACCTTCAAAATTGAAAAACAAAAATCTTCAAAATTGAAAAACAAAAATCATCAAAATTAAAAATTTCAGTTCTATGCATTGAACTGGTACGTAGTAAAAAGTATATACAGCTGAAAACGACTTTTCGAACAATAAAAACTCATTTTAATTGAGAAAGGGTTCAAGGTAGTTCTACAACAACTTATGCTATTGTATGCCCGTTTCTGTAGTCACGGAGCTATTTGAAAGAATTTCATTTCGAGTTATGAAAATATTTTTGTCGGTTGATTCAGCAATAAGGTACTTCAAATCAGCAAGGGCATCGAAGAGTCTGGAGCGCTGAGATGGGAGCTCGTCGCCTGTCTAATCACTGCCTGGATTCTAGTGTACTTCTCCGTATGGAAATCCATAAAATCGTCGGCGCAAGTCCGCTACATTACCGCGACCCTGCCGTTCGTTTTAATCGTCGTGTTCCTAACACGGTCTCTCACCCTTGAAGGCGCCAACAAGGGTCTGCAATTCTTCTTTCATCCACGATGGGAGCTGCTCGGCGATGCAAAGGTATAGCCTAGATTTCGATTATTTTGATCTGCCGTTTCATTTGTAACCACGTTACCTTACTCGAGTTTTAACATTCGAACACTCCATTAACACGTTATTTTAATTAAGGGGTTATGCCTACCTATAAATATTGAAAAAATTGAATTTTGGGTTTTAATATTTTCTTACAGTACATCATTTTAGAAATATTGTGTGAAATTTTGAAGCTGAACCGACCAACATTGGTGGAGTTACGCCCGTTTAAAATATACGGCTTTGAAAGTTTCTGAGCAGATATAATGTGGTAGAATCCCTTTCTAGGGGTGCGTGAGTCATGAATACTATGCCCCAATGCAATTTATGGTTGTGTTAGTAAATACACAAAGCTATATGAAGCCGTAATACTAAAAATAACTATATGTAACAAATTTGCATTGATTCGGTTGTAAACCTGACTTGAAAATTTAAACGTGTTTTTCTCAAAACCACATTTTCCAAATCGGTGACCAAAATATCTTGAGAACCGCTGCACCGAATGATTCAGCTTTGATGGACTCATTCTATACATAAAAATCTAGTCCCTGATCGGGGCTTTTTGTATTTCATTGCGTAGTTTTTATTTAATAGATAAAAAATGAACGATTTTTTTGGCGAAACTCGATACTTCGATATTGAACAGCCGCCAATTTGGCGTAAATTAATTTTTCAGGATAATGAACGATCGGACACTAGATAATTTAATATATTAACTAAATTTGCTCGGATTTTTTATTTTAGATAAACGAATTCGAAGTTACAGTGGTCACCGCAAAACGCCTAAAATAAAAACGCCGCCGGGAGATCGCTGATATTTCCCCTATTTATTCAGATTTTGCATCGAAGAAATTACTATAAGCACTTTAAAATGTGCACTTTCGAATACAATGACGTATGTTTAAAAAAATCTTCAAGTTTTTTAAAAATAAATTCCGAAAGTAGATGTCTTTTTTCGAGCTCGCAGGTAGGCATAACCCATTATCGTATTAGGTTGTATAATAAGTTCGTTCGAGTTAATGATGATAAACGGAATCATCCCTGCGTGAGTCTGCCGGCTTAGCTCCCGCGGTAGTCAACGGAGCTCAGCCGGCATACTCGCATTCTGATTGGTCGGGGTTTTTCGTTAATGTCTCGTTAACAAAGCCTCGTAGAACTTTTTCACCAAGGAAAAGGTTGTTTCAAATCACCTAAGGAATCACACCTTTCAAGGACTTATAACTACATCGAGACACCCTGTATATTTATGTGTTATTGTCAACTAATAAGGTACTAATTACTTTGATTTCCATTGTGCATTAGGTGTGGATCAACGCAGCCGCTCAGATCTTCAATTCGGTCGGCATAGCGTTCGGTTCGATGATATGTTTCGCCAGCTACAACAAATTCCACAACACGATCTTGGTGGATAGCGTCGCGGTTTCGCTTATAAACGCGTTCAGCAGTTTGCTCGTCGGGATATTCTCGTTCGCCACCATCGGTAATATCGCTGTCGAACAAAATATGTCCGTCGAGGCCGTTTTAACGGATGGTAAGTAATACTCGCAGCTTTTACTTTATCAATTAGGCGTGTGCGAATACTCGAATTTCGAGTCAAATACGGTAAGTCCGGGAGAGATGGACCAGTGGTAGAGACGGACAAAAATCGTAGGAGAAAAGTGTCTAAAACGATACCCTATGGTTATTAGTGGTACCATATCGTAATGTCGTTCTACAATAGTTCTCCCCGCACGTCACTAGTCGTTGCTCGAAGTGCCATGTGAATATCAGTGCTCTGTGTGTTGTCCAGAAGAAAAATTTAAAATTACTGCAATTTATCTAAGATAAGGTCGTTTTCAATGTTGTGTAATTTTTGTCATAAACGGTTTAATGTGACAGCTGCTTCTTGCGCGGATTTAACCACAATTCAATAATAAGTTAATTAATGTTTCGTTAGCGCATGTAATAAGTTGATGTTATCTTCGATCACTGAATGTGAGTTGGGTATTTGGGGACATATGATCCCTCTCTAATAGGATAAAATAATCCCATAATAACTGAAATGCTTTTTAATGTTCGTCGTATTTACTATCAGTAGGTGGATTACAAAATGATCCTAAAGTATGCCTTCAAAGAATTGTGAATAAAAAATATAATTGATCACGTAGCTAAATTTTACTTAAGCCAATGATAACATAGATAGACTAACTTACAAAAACTACGTTACTTTTATTTAAAGAATGAGCATTTGTATTTTTTATATAAATTACGCCTTAAGGGGATCGTTTTAGACACCTTTCCCCTATTTCTCAAACTATACGTCAAAGACGCGACCTGTTAGTATTGTTTTGTTTTAATGGAAGTTATTCTAGGCGTCCGTACACCTGGTATCGAAGTTATCGGAAATTTGGACGAGAATTAGGATTTTAATTTGTGATAAGGACAAGACTTTTCTTACCTAATAGGCATACAAAATAGTATCATTCTATTGCTTAAGCAGATGATTGCGCCATCTTCAAAAACTAGGTTTCAATCACATGTAGGTCGAATTTTAACCTCAAACAATGATGTTGAAAACAACCACAATGGCGCAAATACATCGTCCATCTATCATATACGATTCGGGATAGATGGACCGCCCTGTCTATCTCAACCATAAGTACTGTCTTAGTACAATCGACATAATTTAAAGTTTAACTGAATCCAGTTATAATCAATCCTTTTAGCCTTTACAAAGAGATTTCTCATCTAGACAAGTTGCAAACGAAGATCTTTCGCCCGGTAACATACTGGACGTGATTTCACCGGAACCTGCCCATGAACCAATTAGTAGTACTAGCTCAGTAATTATAATAACTTACATAATTTTTTTTTGTTTAACAAAATAATATTCTCGGTGAAAATAATTGTTAAATATCAATTTGGGGAAGAAATATAACATTTATAAAAGCGGTCCATCTCACCAGCAATAGTTAGGGAGAGATGAACCAGATCCTAAAAATTTATTCCCTGTGTCCTGCAGCTATTTGAAAAAATATCGTGTTCTACTAATTCCATATGCTAGAAAAGATGATTCAATACAGAAACCATTGCGTACAATATTCATTATTTCTAAAATATTCGATGTTCGGACATTTTGAACAACGTGGTCCATCTCTGCCGGCCTTATTCTAATGATCGGTCCGTCGAGTCGAGTCGAACTTTTGAATTTTTCAGAACTTCGTATTTGTTTAAAATAATTTATTTAAATTTATTCAAATAACAAATAAATATTCCTCCTTTTCACCTGTTTTTTGAAAATGGGAAATAATTTTTTATTTTTTTTTTTATTATCATTCTAAGATATCTTCCGTTTCAAGCGGTACTATAGAATAAAAAAATTAAAAGTACAGAACTTTGTCCCACAACTACATATTTACCGATGCATCACGAATGTAATCAAGTATACACTTAAAACTTTACGTATTAGATGATTTTGCAACAGGAAATTGCAACGATAAATACATTTTACAATTTCACGCCCGTATGGTATCAATCAATGTCAGATTAACATCACCTGCAATTTTATAGACAAATCATAATTTCCGTTCAAGGACCTGGTCTGGTATTCGTCGTTTACCCGCAAGCGTTAGCCAAGATGCCAGCGTCGCAACTCTGGGCCGTCTTATTTTTCTTTATGCTAGTCTGCCTTTCTTTGAATAGTCAGGTACGTGAATCTCCTAAACTGTGTCTAAAATGATTAATCGAATGTAAACGTAGATTTGAAAGTGAATTAAAAATTGTCCAAAGTTCAACCGCGGATTGCAGTGCAAATCATCGTTGGGACAATGATTTAAGTTAAACTCATGATTCAACCAACGCAATAATCTGTCACAATGTATACTCTTTTCTTTTATGAAAATGGCAATTTGAAAGGTATGGCAAATGTTAGAAAAAAAAGACTAGAATATCATGTTATTGAAATGCTTATTTAATACATATTTCTACCTAAAAAAGGTGCAAAGAAAACCTTTCTTCAATATAAGATAAGAAAAGAGAAGAAAACTATGTCCCAAAATGAAAGTGCAATTTCATAAATCTGATTACACTGTCCAACACGTAAGAAATAACCTTCAATTGGCGTTTCTTGGAGACCTTTATGAACTAAATACGAATCTACAAACCATTTTATCCAAATCCATAATCTGAAAAAATTAGTAAAAAAAAATTGCAACTGGAGACATTTCGTGCTTTTACAGTAATAGTTATCAGTTGCTTGTGACAGACAATAATTCTGTGGACTCTCCAGAAGAAAATGGTATGAATTGTTATTATATTATAAACATTTAAATATGTTCAAATAATGATCAAAGTGAAAAAGACACGCAAAACTTTTGCTAATATATTTCGATTTATTTCACAAACTAAGGGTCTAGGAGAAAATCTAACCATAAAATGCTTCTTTTTTAAATTGTTTCCTTTTTTAATTTTATATTGTAGAATGTTTTCTCTCCACCTTCTTTCCGCAGAAATATGTATTAAATAAGCATTCGAATAACGCGATATTCTAGATTCTCTTCCTAACATTTACCATACTTTTGGAATTGCCATTTTCTAGGGTAGCTCTATTACATATTCTGGGGCGGACTGTACTTGTCGAATTGCCAGTCAGTCGACGATAGATCGTTTGCAATATTAGAAAATTTAAATAAAAAATGAGTAAAGACTGAGGGATTGCAGTTCCACCAAATTCTCACATAAATAACACATATGTCAGTGCATCAATGTAAATTAGCTCTCGTTACGGCATAACAAATTACTTAAATCAGAATAGAACCGCGTGTGAGCACTTAAACATTGTAAACGCTGTCTGCACTCATTATCTAGAGAAATCTGCAATCTATTTCTGAACAATCGAATGAAAACAAAATTTTAACGCATCCTACATCGATATTTTTGTTCACCATTAAATACTTCAAATACATTTTATTTCAGTTCGCAATAGTGGAGGTGGTCGTGACGTCAATACAAGATGGCTTCCCGAAGTGGGTGAAGCGTCACCTCGTCTGTCACGAAATGTTAGTACTTTTAGTGTGCGTAATATCGTTTTTGTTCGGTCTGCCTAATATAACACAGGTGAGAAACCATTTTTATATAAAATATAAACGTTCTTTGGGCATGCCATGTCCATCGGTGAACTTTTTCTTCTTTTTTTCTTATTTCCAGGGCGGTATTTATTTTTTCCAATTGATAGACCACTACGCGGCCTCGATATCGATCATGTTTCTGGCGTTCTTCGAAGTGATCGCGATATCGTGGTTCTATAGTGTACGACGACTTTGCAACAACGTGAAGGAAATGACTGGACGCGTGCCGTCTCTATACTTCCGGTTCTGTTGGCTGTTTGCAGCACCCCTCCTTATCATGGTAAAGTCACAAACTGTCTTAACACAAATTAACAAGTTACTTACGAACAAAGTTTGACATTATTTAAATTGATCTTTATTTAAATAATTGTTTAAATACAAAATTGCTTCTTATTTGGACATTCTAATTAGAAAATGAAATAGTTATTAGTTATTTTACAAAGGTAGCTTTGACAACTATTCGATAATTATTATTTATTACTTATTGGTTGTTGGAACAAGATTTATATCACTGTACGGACACCATTTGAAAAAATACAATGACAAAGCTTTTCAGGATCTTTCATTTGTGATAAATCGCTACCCACCCATATGGTGCAAATATATGTGTCAATTAGTATTGTCAGAGTACTACAAACAAATTTTGTCCAAACATCCGTACAATAATTAATAACTTGAAATACCTAAAATATTTCAATTCACTTTTTAATTCATTGTTCAATTTTTAACTCGTAATGCAATCACTATTTCACAAGTCAACTTGCAAATGATAATTTTTGTTCACAAAAGTGTAACCAAATGTATCGATGGATAAAAGCGAAATGTCATACTTAACGATTTAAACAGTAACAGTATGGCACTGAACATTAAATATTTCATAAACTAATGACTACATGCGGCTGAAACAAATATCATTCTGAGTTAATAGAGTAAAAAACTTTGTATTTAGTTCCAATGTCTCTAAATTAATCTGTAAAAACCTATACAGAATGTCCTAAAAATAGTTGTAAATCCTTGAAAGGTGTGATTCCCGAGGTGATTTAAAACAACTTTTTCCTTAGCGAAAAAGTTCTCCCAGGCTTTATTAACGAGATATTAACAAAAAACACCGACCAATCGGAGCGCAAGTCTGCCGGCTGAGTTCCTACGGTAACGTTGGCTACTCTGATTGGTCGGGGTTTTCTGTTAATATCTTGTTTCGAAAGTCTCGGAGAACTTTTTCGTTGAGGAAAAAGTTGTTTCAAATCACCCTAGGAATCACCCCTTTCAAAGACTTACAACTATTTTGGGACACCCTGTATTTTTGCATAAGTATTCGCAGTCTGGTAATTACTCGATAGTGTGTAACAATTAAACGTTGGCCACGCGGCGCAAACCCTATAAATCATTGCACTGTTTCAGGCTGTGTGGGTGTTCAGCTTAATTGATTATGAACCACCGACCTACCGCAACGGCGAGTACGACTACCCTTGGTGGGCAGAGGCGATCGGCTGGGGAATTGCCTCTCTTTCCCTTATTTGCATTCCCGCTTTCGCTATCTACGAGTTCATCAAAGCGAACGGCAACACTTGCGCCGAGGTACGGTATCGAACACCACATGGACAAAGACAACCCGATTAAACGTTTATCCCTTGTTCAGCTGTAACGCCCTACATTTATTAGGGGGAGACACAATGTAGAATCTTCTGAACCCTCGAACCTGAACGGTTTTAATGATGTGGGTTGGTTTGGACTCCCTGCATCCATTCCTTCTGAACGTATTTTTGAACAATTTTATCGTGAATTTGCTTTCTTCTCATTTGAATTAATGTACAAAATTGATAACTTAAGGGGATATTCTACTGCGACATGTGACTTTTTTAACTTTCTTCTGAAATTTTTTTTAAGGACTTGAAAAGGTATATTTGTTATATCTTAAACTATGAATAAAAATTTTCTTGGGAAATATGAAATGAAAGTGGCGCTGCAGCCCATTAAAGTCGCCTACCTCGAAAAAAATTGCTCGATTGGTTACCATAATTCTGATCGTTCTGTTCATTTGAAATAAAAAAAAAACTAAAATGATTCTTAAATTATTTTGATTGATATGGATTGAAATATTAACAATTTTTTAAATAGCTGCAATTTAAAAATTGAGTATTGATTTTTGCGATATTTTTTCGTTTTTTTCAGGCAGTATAGTTAAAGAAGAAAAATATTTTAGCTTGATTCTGTTAGGGACAATAACGACACATCTACTGAAGTCAAGTAGAGTTTGAGATATCGTGGCAACCATTTTCCAAAACACGGTTTTGAAAAAACCTTTGTTCTATAGGTTTGGCAATTTTATAAATTTTGCCATAATGCTTCAGGAACACATTTTCTAGACCCGAACCATAAAAAAAAACAATTTTGTTGACCGGCTACAGTAGAATACCCCCTTAAATCAGTTATCGGAAACTGTTGAGTTGGATGAAACTCTTGAAAACTCGGGTCAAAATGACCCAGTCATCGTTCTCCAATGGTTAAGTAATCACAATCCTCAGTTTAGGGGTGATTTGTAAAGAGGAGAAAGTCTACTGAATGTCCTAAAAATTTCATTAAAATTAACGACTTGAAGTATGGGACCTCTCCTGAGTACGTTCCAGCTACATCAAAAGATGCCAATCTTTAGACACTAATTTAATGACTTGGACATTATCTATCCTGGCTAACGTAATATCACTCTCGTCCATTTTTTTTTCCAGAAATTCTGTAACGCCATTAAGCCACATTTCGAGGCGTGCAAGATCTGCGGCCAAGAATACTGCACCGAACCGATGCACAATTTCGAAGAGGATGTGGTCAAAGAGTTGCCACACGATGCTAACAGTCCAATACAACTTAATACCGATTGTCTTTTACCGAAATCTCCGGAATGATGCAGAAAATACAATGAATATTATAGAGAACGTTGAGTACCTTCTCATACCGAACAATTCTTGCAACTTGATAATACGGAAAGTAATATCAAGTGGTTTTCGTATTTTAGCGCTTTAAAAAGTGGACCATTTTCAGAATTTAATTCTCGAGAAAGTGTCGATGCAAGTTTCTTCAAATTTTACGGAAATTTCTATTTGTTATGAGATTGATTTCTGCAATTTTGGCAGGCTTAAAAAAAGAATTTAAAATTACTTGGGTTTCTTAGAGTTCTGTGCACGTTTTCATTAAGAGACAGCAATAGTTGACCAAATGAAAACAAAATTTGCAAGAAATCATTACAATTTCTTTACGTCTCAGAATGTAAGAGTATGTGTCTCTTAATTTCTTTCGGTTCATCTGTGATCATCGTGTTAAGAAAGTGTTCTCTGCAATAAAATTAAAGCCTACACCTAGGAAATACGAAAGACATTCAGTGTTTACTGTTATATGTATATCAAAGACCTCTTAGGATCGATCAGTGTATGTTGCTTGAGGCAGAATTCTTGGTTTAGTCGCGTGTTATCCGAGTCTTCATGAAGGAATAAATCAAAAAGATCACATTAGCAATAAGTACCTATATCGTATATACATAGTTATATAAAATAACTTATAATATTGTTAATTATATTTTAACTCGGTAACAGTTTCCTCGAGAACATTGTTCCCCATTTCTTTTTTCAAATATTTACAACTTAACTTATCACTAATTACTTAAAGTAAATCATCTTTTTCTTCGCAATACCGTGAATTATGCTTCCTGAAACATTTATGAAACATTTATGTTCACAAATATTCCGTAAATTATTATCGAGTTAGAGAGAGAAATTAATAATTCTGTGTTGTTTCATTTAATCGGTAATTGCTTTACTGTGGAAAATTGGCCGATAAAGTTACTGTTACTTTAATACTCGACAATGCTTCGAGTAGAAATCTTGTTGGATGAATATCTTACTGGAACATAGATAGATAGACTTAGAAATCTTATTGAAATAAAAATCTTACGTACAGAGATACGTATTGATGCACAATCTTTATGCAAACCGAAAAACAATCGACATTCCATCATCTTGTGATCCGTGTATGGTGATATCAGCAGATTTATTCAATTCTAAAAGTTACAGGCCTGCACTTATCTTTTCAAAATTTGATAATTATCTGGAAATTTATACATTTACCTTATATATAAACTTCTTGGTAGGTGTACCGGTACCTTTCGTTGAGCATACATTATAGCTCATAAATATTTGCTCATATCCATATTAGATCCACTTTGCCAGAAAAAGATTCCAAATTTTTGTCAAGAATTCATTTTCCCCATAATAAGATTCATATACATATCAAGCAAAATGATCATGTATTGTACATTCCTAAAGTAAAATGTAAAATGAATATAATACAATAGAAGGGCAAATATGCTGTGCAGGCTGGTGTAATATTGGTTCATCGTCCGCGAAGAATTGAATCAAAACTGCACAAAATTTCGGTTTGAAGTCGAATAGAATTCGTTGCCATTTAAACAGTGCTATAACAGCACACGATTTATGCACCTAACTCTTGTTTTACACGATTTTGAAATAACACGGTCGACGAAAAAAACCGCCTTTCTTCTTTTTACACAGTTTATTTCCTTTAACACAGTGCAAGAAAAAAACCATCTTTATTTTTTTATACGTGTTATTCCCTCTGACACGGCTGGGTACCAATAATTGTACAAGGAACTTGCAAAACCAAAAGAGCAAAAGAAGATAACAAACGTAGCGGATGTGGTAGATCTCTCTAGCGAAGATAGCGATTTTGATCCATCTGGCCGTAAATATATGTAATTATTATCAAGCAGCGACGAATAATAACTTATATTATTGCTAGTATTTTTTATTGAAAATGTTTTTTTTTGCAATATTTATGTGATAATAATTTTATTTTACTTAGAATATAATTGAAATGTGTATGAATTTTATTTTGCTGTCAAATATTTCAATGTATTTACATATATATTTTCGGCACTTTTTTACACGGTTTATTGAATGAAATATAGTTCTTTATTTCATCTTAACAATAACTTGGAACGTATCTCACATTTTACTAAAGAAAACGTATTTTTTTTGCACGGTTGTTTTTACACGATTTTTTGAGTAACGTATGTATCTTCCGTGTAAAAAGGAGTTGAGTGTATAGTCGTTCTGTCGAATGAAAAATTTAGAAGCTATATGGAATATAATCTGTATATCACTATACAGAATTGTGACAAATTAATCGACACGCGTGTCGATTAGCGTTGTTCATTGCTGTTACGTAATGTTAAAATAACATTAGTAGACCCAACGTCGCTCATAGTAGACGTGTATTTGACTCGTTCCGCAGAAACTTGAAGGCACTGCAGGAAAGCGTTCTTGTCGCTTATTGTCAAAACAATGCAAGAAAATTTTACCCCGATCCTGAAAATTTTTTGTTTCTGAACGACGCATTGATGTGTCAGCTTCAGAATACCGGGTGATTCACGAGAAAAAGAACACCTACATATCTCCATTAGGAATAAAGATAGACGAAAATGTTAAAAAGGGAAGTTGCAGAAGTTCCAGGAGGCAAATATGATGATATATAAAATGTTCTGATTTTTATTGTCTTCAAGGTCTTTTGAGGATCATCGGTTGTTTTTTAAATGACACCATATATTTCTAACTTTATAGTGTAGTACCTGATGTCAAGACGAGTTCAACGATGTGGTATGTTACGACCTTCAAATGACCTTGGACTGAAAAATTTCTAGAAATAGATGGACAACTGCGATCAGGAAATCGGTCTTTGTAAAGCCGAACAGCTTCTCGAAGACACTGATGACTTTCGTATTAAATGGAAATAAGATCGATCTTCTCTTCCTTCGAGTAACGTATCGTTAAACGGTTTATCAATAAACTGAATGATTACCACAATAATTTCATGACAATAACAGAGGTGACAGACGTACCTTTAGTTTCTTGATAACCATGTTTATGTACGTTTAGGGAACACCTTCCGTCAACGGTATACGCATTATACCGAAACGGTATACCTAATGGCTTACGAAACTGAATTTCCATTGATCAAACGTAGTAGTCAAACTATACCTACTTATGAGTCCAAGGTCATTTGAAGGTCATAATATACCATATCGTTGAACTCGTCTTGACCTCAGTTACTACATTATGAAGTTAAAAATATATAGTGCCATTTAAAAAACCATCGATGACCTTCACAAGACCTTGAAGAGAACAGCAATCAGAGAATTTGGGTAAATATTTAGAATAGGGGAGACAGCTCTGATGACCTTGACCTTAACATATGTGGTAAAGGTCACCCTCCTCAGTGACCTTCAGAAGGTTTTTGCCGTCGCTCTTTATTTGTTGAAAAATTATTAACTAATTAATTTCGCAATATGAAGATGTATGTTCAACTTCATAATTTAAATTTTACGTAGTGTAAACACTATATTATTAGAATATCTACTTCTTTACGTAATTGCGGGATGAAATTATTAATTATATGGGAAATATTTCTGAAATGCGTGGGCAGAGGAGGGGCAGAGCAATCATTTCAAGAAGCAGATCTGTTAATAATAAAATGTTTATTATAATTTTTAAATAAATGTGTTTTATAATATTTAGGGAAGATTTAAATTTTTTAGTTAATCATACACCTTTATATTGTGAAATTAATAAGTTTTTAACAAATAAAGAGTGACCACTAAAATTTTCCTGAGGTCAGTCAGGAAGGTGACATTTACAACATATTTGAAGGTCAAAGTCACTGGAGTCCTTCAATACTCAAAATAACTGTTACATTTTATAGACATTTTTTGCTTACATCTTTTTAACAAAAAAAGCGAGCGACGATAAAAACCTTCTAAAGGTCACTGAGCAGGGTGACCTTGACAACATATGTCAAGGCCAAGGTCATCGGAGCTGCCTGCCTTATTCTAAATATTTACCAAAATTTGTTATATCATCATATTTGCCTCCTTCAACGGTACAACTTTCCTGTTTAACTCTCGTAAATTACCCGATATATCTTTCGTTAATTAGGAGCAATGCTTTATATTGAGATTGAAACGGTATCGTCTATTGTAGAAATCCGACATTACTTCTTAGTCAACCCAATATATGAATAAAGAGCATCGATGAGTCTTCTGTTCTTCTTGACTTTAACCCGAGCAGACGTCAATAGATCCATCAGCAGTGCTTGGCTAAGCTATAACAGATTTGTAACGTCAAAAGACTCCTGTCTAGAAATAGAAACAGCCCCGTGCCTTCAGACTTGAATGGAACGAGTAAAATAATTTCGCTCTACATTAACGTATTTGTAACGTAAACGCACCGGTCGAAGATAGAGAAAAAGGTTCGTTTAAAGCACTGCGATTAATAAATCGAATGTTACATAGATAGACAACGTTAAGTAGAAGAACGAGTACAAATGTCTAAGATTTTATCACAATTATTGTATATTTCTAAGATGTGAGTCGCAAACGATGAGGCGACCACGTCGATAAAGTAATAAACAGTGACCGTATATAAGCTTGTTAACCGCAACGTGATCGAGCACGTGATAAACGTAATAAGCACCGTTAATGATAAGATTACGTCGTGTATAAAAACATTTGCGAAACAGAAAAACAACGTACAAAGTCCGATTGACCGTAAGAAAAGCGTATCGAGCAGATTAGTATGTAATTGTTCTCGTAACTGTAATAAATTATTATTATTACATTCTCACTATCGGTTTTTTATTTACTTATACAGAGTATGTCATGTAACTGGTGGTACACGCGAGTAGAGGATGATTCTACGTGGAAAAATAAGTCGAAAATGTACGATAAAATTTTTTCGTTTGAGACTTTGTTTTCGAGAAAACAGACGGTAAATATTTACGATAAGGGAACCACTTCAGATTTCGATGATTTTTTAATATATTGTCAAGGTGTCAATTACCTAATAGTATTGTAAAGGGTTTAGTTGAGGGTCGCTATTTGTAAAAAAGTTATTATTACTTAATTCGTTCATATATCAAACAACTATTTTTCTTGTCATTTGAATTTCCAAATAACAAAATAATTCCTGCTTAAATAATAATCTAATAACAATAATTTAACAATTATTTCAGTAAAGATTAATTTAAATAAGTCCCAACTTTTGTATTACTATGTGTTTCGAAAAATATCAGACTCTTTTCTTTGAGAACCCTTACGTGAAGTACTCTATAAAATATTAACGTAGTAATTAAGTTTTACCAAAATTCGCGAGAGAGATTAAAGATATTCGATTCATCAGAGAACCAGGTTTTCGGGAAGTCGGGCAGCCAACTGCGTGTCCAGATTCATTTAGCACGCATCGAACTTATATAAGTGGAACACCGCGCTTACGATGGCGAATCCTCATACGTTAAATCGGATTCCTCTAATTGGATTATGCCGACCCCGGGCAGAAGTTTCGCGACAGAATCTCGCCATTCGAGTCTCATGCAACTCCAAGTTCGCTTCAAGGCAGCCGTGGAAGGCGTTCGTTCGCTGACGAAACAGATAAACCGGAAACATGACAAAGAAGTTCGAGTTCAACTGGCAAATCGATGTACCGGAACTCTTGAGAAACGGCTCGACGTTCGACCGATGGTTTGAGGACAAGGAAACGACGGAATATGAGCCGAATTGTTTGTTTAAAGTCGACGAGTATGGATTTTTTGTCTATTGGAAGAGCGATGGCAAGGTACTAATAAAGCAAAATTTTCAAATCGGTTTATTAGAACCACCATTATCGGAGCTGATACGTATCCTTTTTATATTTAAGGCAAAGCAGTATCGATATCTTCGGTAGGAAAGAATAAATGATGTAAATAATGTAAAGAAATATTTTTGTTTATACTAAATTGCTTAACATTAACTGTAAGAGGACATCTGTAGAATTAATGGAATTATTAATATTCTATAACACTATAATTATTATATTAAGATTGTACAGTTTTAGGTTTCCTTTAATATAATGGTTATTTAGAAAATTCAATAAATAGTGTAAACAGCCGTAATACTATTTAATAAATAATATAAATAATTTAGAGAATTAATTTCTGTAAAAACTATTGTTACTAAGTTGGATGGATTTAACTTCAAGAGATCATCTGGAAACTCAGTGAATTATTAATTAGTAATATTCCATAATATTATAATGGCTGTATTATGTGATAAGCATACTTTTGATTTCCCTTTAATATGATAGTCATTTGAAAATTCTTACAAAAATACTTGTACTAACGTTAATTATAATATTTGCTAATGTTATGTTCCCTTTTCTATTTCAAAATACCATCAGTTCCAGTAATTTTCTAATTTCAAAATTAAAGATACTAAATGAGTTTCATCGTGAAATAGTTATTACGGATCCAATTAATTATCACTGTAATAGAGAGAAGCTTATTCTAAAAATATAGATTTTATTGGCATGATAGAAGGTATGGCTATTAAAGCTTTAATGAAACTGAATTTTTATAGCTCTATGAAACCAAATAATTACTAATACAGTCGCAAGTTAAGATAAATGGAAACAAAACTATTAGTGCAATATACATATTCATTTAAAAATTTTCTTTATACAGGACGGCGACGTAATAGAATTGGCCCAAGTCAGCGATATTCGTTATGGTGGTACACCAAAGGTAATAGTTCTTAAAATTATTATTTCTCACAGTAGTATACAATTAAGATAAATCGTATCATAATCGTAATACGAAGAAATACTTAAATTTCGTTTCATTATATCACATTATTCACAGAAAATTTCAAAATTATTAAATGTGTTCGTGTCTTTAAAATATATTCAACAACTGCTTTGAATTTGAATGACCTTTTGTGAATTTTTGTATTTACAAACTTGAAAAATTATAGTTTTTCGTTGGGATTCAAACATGATTACAAATCGATATGTGGAAAACCTACACAACCGATTCAATCTAATGACAATTTTATGGTATAAAAAGTTATTTTGTTAATAATTATTAGTATAGTGTCTATTTAAAGGAATAAGTAAAGTGTTGTTTTAAGATGATAAGGCACAAAAATACGTGAAATATTTATTCCGTTATATACAGGTTGTGTCTAGAGAGTTAATTGTAAGAAATTTTACAGTTGATTAATACCGACATGATTGTTATAATAATAAATTTCGTAGGATCCAAAATTATGTAATAAAGTGGGTAAACACGGGACTATGGAGCAGATAGATGAAAAAAGCTTAACCATATGCTCCGGAATTGATTACACGAACATTCATTATCAACACGTTATCTGTGCGGACGCGAAAACCGCCAAGGTAATAATAATAAATAATAAAAAAAAAATTACAGGTCCCATTTTCTTTTATTTACAACAACTCAAATTTCCTGGCATATTGCATTGCTTCAGGACTGGCAAGCTGGCCTGCGAAAAATCACGCACAACACGAAAGCTTCGAATGTTTGCCCCACAACGCAGTTAATGAAACAGTATGTATAAACCTCACTACTCTCTGATTATCATTGAATTGAAATTGAATAAACGAATTGGTCGATATTAGAATTTTAATTTAAATTCCGTATACTTGTTCAGTTGGATGAGATTAAGTTTCCAAGTGGATCCAAAGGGAAAGGTGCCCGTGAAAGTAATATCGAAAACCTTCGCCTCTGGTAAGACTGAGAAACTAGTTTATCAAGGCCTGGCAGACTTGGGTTTACCCAGCGGAAAAGTAAGATTTTCTTCTGACATTCCCTTTCCATTTCTATTTATTCATTACACTTTGTAGTCCAGATGACGTTAAAAAATTATACGCGATTCAATTTAATTTTCTTCTGTTGTTTATTTATTAGACTTTGTGGTATATAGATGACATTAAAAAATTACACGCGATTCAATTTCATTTTCTTCTGTCGTTTGTTTATTAGATTTCGTAGTCCAAATGACGTTAAAAATTATATGCGGTTCATTTGAATCTTCTTCTGTTTTTATTGTTGCTTATTAAACTTTGCAACGTAGATGATATTAACCTTTTGCACTCGGAATTTCTAATTTTCCATACATTTTGTCCCTTCAGAGGGAACAGTCGAGTGCATAGGGTCAAAAATTTTGTGATTTTTATGTATTGGAAGTACAAAAAGATAACACGTGACAATGAATTACTGAATACTGATGACATACATGACAGAAGCAAAACGTTCGTTAACTGAATAAAAAATTATGAATATCACTATATATACTATATGCGACATATAGTCGCTTACATTTGGCGAGGGGTGGTAGAAAATAATCAAGGATCTGCGTATTTTAAGAAGTGTTGTTTCAAATTATTGTTCCTTCTATCTTTAAAATAAAAATCAACAAAAGTACAACAAGAGAATATACGGGAGATATATAAATATAGGATAAACGTACCAAAGATTTAAGAGATTTTGTAACTATTAAAGTCGAATTTTAAATGATAATAATATTAATAAATATTTGGCACATGAAAATTGAATTTTTGAATATCTATACCTTCGTATAGCGTATAAATTTCAATTTGAAAAAGTAGAAAAATGAAATTCATTAAATTAAAACGAGAAAATACAGATTTCCCCAGTGAATGAACATTTCTAACCAATGGCGCGAAAATTATTTGAATATCAAACAAAGAATTGAAAAAAATCAATACATATTCAATCATCTGTTCATTTTAATAACTTAATTTACTCGTTTTATATAATAATGTTCATTCACTGGTACGTGTTCATTTACCGCTGCATCCACCCTATCTAATGTATTATATGTAAATATATCTAAAATAGAATAGAATATAAATATCTAAAATAGAAATCGGCAAAATACAATAGGGGATATAGAAGAAGTATTCTACTCTACTAAAATTAAACATTGCCATTTAACTTTCTGATCAGTCTACAACATTTCACTGATACCCAAAAATTTTATGCAGCGTATATCATGAGAATAATAACGACACAGTATAAATTTATGTACACCGATAAATTTAGTCTAATTCCAATAACTTTTTAAAAGTTCTCCAATTAAAGTACATTACATGCAATAAATATATTGCGATAACATGAGCAATACCAATTTCATCGTTGTTTTAATGGATTTCAGAGCGACAAAATTGAGCCGCAAGATTTCACGTTCGACAAATTCAAAACGTTATACTTCAAAACATGCCCGCGGAACGATATCGAAGAACTATTCCAATCGATGTAAGCATTTGTTAAAATAGATTCCGTTAAAGGCCTTCTGTAACAGCAAACGGCACATGAATAATTGTATATTTCAGAACAAAGGGGAAATCGGATACGATCAATCTGGGCCAGTTGGTGCAGTTTATGAATGAGAAACAAAGGGACCCTAGGCTCAATGAAATTTTGTATCCCCTTTACGACGAGAAACGGTGCACCGAAATAATTAATGATTACGAACAGGATGAAAAAGCGAGAAACGCAAGTAAGTCGATTTTCAACCCTTAACTGGTAAAGTAGGTTCGGAGAACACCCTGTGCATATTTTTAAACTATTTTAGTTTTATTACAAAACAGTTAATTGTGTAATAAGTGGACTGCGGATGTTTATGCATTTATAGCATGTCTTAACTAGAAAAATTCAATAAGATAAAGCCAGGGTTGTTCCTGGATTGTTGGCTGCCTGGGTGCAAAAACAATATGGCCGCCCTTATTAATTTAATATTATTTAATTACTGCTGTGTTTACTTTTATATCTATATAAACGTATGTTTAATTAGTTTTTATCTAAGCATCATATATGGTACAAAAATATGTTTTTAACAGTTATTATGCAAAAGAAATATTTTCTAAATTCTATTTTCATAAAATGAAACAAAGATCCTTAAAGAAGAAATGGTTTTATTTAAGATAAATATTTTATTCTACATATAACTACAAAACTAACGTATAGTGTTTGTAATAAGGATGTTATAGTTGATAATATCGATTATCAATTCACGAATTTAATCCAATAAGTATGGCTAAATATCATATGCTTGTTTGGGATGTATATGTCTTGTATACGAGTAGTGTTCCAAAGATTACATATAAAATTAATTTGATTGAATTCTATTTGTTTAAAATTTTGAGAATCATCAGAAAAGTTTTGATTGTTATTCTTATTAGTTGAAATTTTACACATACTAAATGGTCTGCGGCCGCTACTGGGTTTTGCCGCCTAGGAGCGGGTGCACCATTTGGCCCCCGGCCAGGAACGGCCCTGGATAAAGGTTTTAATAAAGTTTAATACCATATATATGTCATTATTAACATAGTATTCTACACAAAATTCAAAACTATGCTTCATTTTAATTTTTAGATATTGACATCGAAAATTGTAAATTTGCATAAATTTCCACAGTCTAGTAATATGCATAAGATTTGTGTAATAAATACTAAGTACGAAGATTTGCACCTGACCATTTAAGTTTGTTTCTTTCCATTTTCTATTTCAAATTCTCTTACGTGCACGATATATCTTGAAATGTATACCCAGGGACCCATAATGACTTTTCTATTAAACACAGATTGGGTTTTATACACAAAACAGTGAATATCCTTCTATTTTTTAAATAAAATGAATAAAATTCTCTACCACAAGATGGTTGAAGTAGTTTAGAATCTACTTTATGTATTTTTTTTGCAATCGATATTAATATGATTATTGTACAGTGTAGATGACTTAGAAATTATTTCTGGTACTATTCACTAGTAATTTCTCATGTCCACGTATCAGATGAATCACTTATATTCGCATTGATTCGCGTCAAAATGTGATCGCAAACATTTTTCTCTGTAGAAAGCTTCACCAAAGACGGCTTCATTCGTTATTTAATGTCCGACGAAAATGCCCCCGTGTTTTTGGACAAATTGGAGGAGTGGATGGACATGGATCAGCCCCTCTCTCATTATTATATCAATTCGAGTCATAACACTTATCTGAGCGGCAGGCAGATCGGTGGTAAAAGTACCGTTGAGATGTACAGACAAGTGTTATTAGCTGGCTGCAGGTAATTTATCCATCTTTTATTACACAAAGCTTACAGTGTCGCCTAAAGAGTGAACAATTTCGAAGCTTTATGAAATACGTGCATTTTCGATCATTGCTACATATGATTCAACGAGATTTTTTGCTCTAGCTTATTATTTCTGTTCGTTGTATACAAAACTGTCTATGAACTTTTATGAAACTTTTTCATCTTGTAGAATCGACTATAATTTATTGGTTATGAATGATTAATTACACTAGTAATTGTACACTCGCCGTGTATAAGATCGCACATAATTAAGGTGTAAAAGAGGTACCCTTTTCTTTAGTAAAACTAAGTAAAAAAAAAAGAAACATAATACATTGAATAGTTTCGTTTCATATTTTATTTTAAATTAATGGAATATTTAAAGACTTCTGCTATATTAAAAATTATAAAACACTGGTGAAAAAGTGGAAGAAACAATGAAACATGGTTTGTTGCAATGTAGTATTTATAATAATATTGAATCATATATTACAAGAAAATAAGCCTATTTTAATTCAAATAGCTGTAATTATTAATATTTATATTAAATTATTATTATTATTATTTGCTTTATTTACATTAATAACGACGGTCATTCTGAAATTGTTTCTATGCAATGACCGAAAATACAACGACCTTCATTGTAACCAACATAATTAGTATACTAGTATACACAGTTATTTAAAAAAAAAAATAAAAATCAGTATCAAAGACAATAAGATACATTGTCCATCAGGTGCGTAGAGCTCGATTGCTGGGACGGAAAGGGAGAGGACGAGGAGCCAATCATAACCCACGGCAAGGCCATGTGTACCGATATTCTCTTCAAGGATGTCATATACGCCTTAAGAGACACGGCATTCGTCACCTCGGAGTACCCTATAATTTTGAGCTTCGAGAATCATTGTTGTCTCAAACAGCAATACAAATTAGCTAAATACTGCGACGAAATATTGGGTGATTTGTTGCTAAAAGAGCCTATAAAGGACTATCCGGTACGTATACCTTATTCCTAGTATTTCTTCATTCTTATATCGGACTGTCGCTAATTTAAAAAAAAGCCAATTTTTTAACGACAATTAATTCTACATTAAACTAAGAATGAATTCTAGTGAATAGTGTATTCACTTTATCAAAGCTTTACCTAACAAAATCCAGGTATAGATCTGTCATATAATACTACTCTTGGGAGAAAGTGCTCGGACCAACAAGCTGACATAAATTATTTACTTACGCATCGGAAGTAAAAAATTATTGTTTTGTATACATTAAAGAAACTGCGTAGAAAAATTGGTATGAACTTCCGAAAAGCACCCACACCCATGACTTTGATATATGTTATAAAAGGTTCAAAAGGTTTAAACCGCCTATTATAGGTTATTCAAAAGGTATCATAAAAAAAGATTGAAAAACGTACCGTAATTTTCCTACAAATCTGAACATTTGTAACGTAGCGTCTTTAAAAGATATTGTTCAAAGCATTATACTGATCTGAGTTGGTTACAGCTAGTTAAAAAACAAACTGATAGAATAAATACTTGCTTATTTCGTCGTTGAATTCTACCAAAAATCGGCGGTAATAATAGTGATACCTTTTTTCTTGAACTATCTCTAACCAACTCTGAATTATTTTTTTCTTGAACTGCCTTTAATCAAGTTTGAAGCATTATACTGATCGGAGATGGTTGGAGACAGTTCAAGCATTTTTTGTTCATAAGATTTTAATAACCAATAATCGGCGGTTTAAATCTTTTGAAGGTTACATAGGGGGTGATCGTAATAATATATGTGAATGCCAGTCATCAGGTGTGGGTGCATTTCGGAAATTTATCCAAAAATTGATTACAGGATGATCTTTATTTTTTCTAACTTTAAGAGTTGATTCTACATGCCGGAATACGACGAAAATTAAAAATGGAAAGTTCCGTCGAAGGCCTGATCTTCAGGTTATTAACAGTTAAAATTTTGGGTCAGAAATGCCTCAAATTAAACAATCTGATTCAGTAATTGTTTCTGTCCCTGTCCCACCTAAATGTTCAACCCCCTCCCTGTGTTTATAGTTACTGACTCGACTCGTTGGATGAGGTATAGGGAACCTTTTCTGTATAACCTTCCCTGGGGAGAGACAACGATTCAAAAGGGTGGGCATCGATACTGGGATAGTCAGTTCTGGCCGAGAAGGATCTTGACATAACTTCTTTTGGCGGTCCACGTCAACATGCCACTTAGACAACACCTAAACATTCACGAGATCTGTTGTCTCAGTGTTTATTCTGTGCGTGTGTGTTGTGATTTGCCATTGTGGATTTTAACGAGTAATCAAGTTTAAATTGTATAACAATTCGTGTGCTTTTTTGTGAAGTGTTATAAAAAGACCAGGCTCGCGTGTAGGTGTTACTATATTATATTTTTGAATACGATATATAGGTGTATTTCTTTCAGGCGACGCCGTTGTACTTATCGTTTGTACACAGATTGCCTGGTTTCAGGCGTTTCTGACCTGAAGTGTTAATTATTAATAACTCGAAAACGAAGCCTTCGATAAATTTCGTCATTTGTGGTGTTTGTTCTATTTTGACGTGTAGAATCAACCCTTAATATTTTTTTGGCACCAGTAGCCAAACACCCGGTATATTCAAAGGGAATAAGAACAAAATAATACACCCAATTCGTGAAAAAACACAGAATTGGGTGTAATTGTATTCGTGTCTTTACCAAATATAAAAGAAAGTTATATGGTTACTGGAATGCGATAATAACGGAGAACTATATAAGTAATATTAAAATATTCTGCGATTATTTTTTTTTTGAACATAAGAAATGATACTCAACACGAACGGTTGAAAATTTTCTTCAACGTATGTAAACAATTGAGCACTTTCTTCAATCACCGTGTCACCTTTTATTTTTATATCTTACATACCAATAAAAGTATCTGCTTTTATATTAATATTCCATTCAAATAGTTACAAATCTTTCGTAACGATTTTCTCGCAATAAACGAAAATATTTTATATCTTCTATACACGAATAATCTTTAATACCAAAAACTAAGTACTTTCAGCCAGGGAGGGTGGTACAAGTTGTTCCAGGAACAGGTGGAAATACTCTAAGTGGTAGTAAGACTAGTAAGGTAGCACCGTGTACGCAACACGAGAAGCTCGGTAAATTCTGTCAGGAAAATGAATGAAGGCATAATTTTATAAAAATTAAAGCGTAAGCTCTCTTGATCCCACGTAAATCCGTGAAATCATGTCAAATATGGTATCTTTGAGAACAATAACGAGTGTCACTGGAGATACACCTTTAATTTATAGTCATAAATTAAATGTCGCAGCTTGAACCAGGGCATCCACTTCCACCACCGAACGCGCTGAAACGTAAAATATTAATCAAGAATAAAAGACTGAAGCCAGAGGTGGAGAAAGTCGAACTCGAGTTGTTCCGCTCCGGGCAATTCGAAGCGAAGGATGAAGTGGTCGAAGATCCAAACGCACCTGCTCCACCACCGCAGGAACCAAAGGTATAACACTACGATTTTATGTACTGTTCGAATCAGAAATATTTCTGCCATGCATCTCAAAATCTTTGAAATTCTCAATGAAAACAACGGTGATAAGAAATATAATCGAATTAACGGTTGATTACTACGGTTAACTAAATTATCAATCGAACCATTAAGAGAATTACATACGCTGCGAAAGTTTATGATGATTTTCACTTTTGTCGATGAACTTACAGCAGAAAAAATTAAACAGAAATTTTGGTGTGGTTTTTATTTAAATAAATTTTTTCAAATGGTTATTAATGCTCTTTTATGTTGCAATTAACAAAGCACCATACCGAACACGCACACGTCGATTTTAATGAAACATATGAGGAGATAGTTCTCCAACAAATATTTGAAACGTATTTCTTTTATCGCCATCGTCCATTTTAAGGAGCTGATAAATAGTCTCCAAACTTAAGGGATGCAAATATATTTTTTTGCAATATCTCGGAAAGTAGAAGGAATAAGAAATAGTTTCTTTTTTTAAATTGTGTGTTTTTAAAAGGGACAATTTTGCCACATGAGAAAATTAAATAGAAAATTTTAATTTTAAATAATACATTATTTAAATTTTCTTATGTGACTAACTTTACCATTCAAAACCACACAATTGAGATGAATATTTTTTCCTGCTCTCTCTGGTTTACGTGATACTCAATAAAATATATGTTCATCCCGCAACTTTGGGAGCTGTATCACTCCCTTAATTATGGACAAATATTTTTTCGAAAACTATCTCCCACATAAATTTCATTAAAATCGACGTGTGCGGGTTTGGTATATTTCAATACAGTGATTATTTTGTAAATATCTCATTAACTTTACGACATATAAAGATCAACACATTTTTACTCAGAATTTGCTACTTTATCGATCTATGGTACAAAAAATCAGTTAAATTCGGTATAAAAAAACCAAGGCGACCTTGGAATCTCTGAAATGCCTCCACCCACAAAAGAAGCATATACCTTATAAGATGTGACCCTTGATGCCATTTCAGTTCCATGCCTCAAACTTTGCATAAAGTGTACCGTTAAGTCATTGTTCGAGGTGGTCAAGTTAGCTGAAACACCCTGTATAATTGTCTGTAAGAGGTCATTAATGACTTGAGATCTCGTTGAAACTTTTCAGCTCGTTCCTCATTAGGATCATATTCGACAAAAGGATTACCCAATTTACTAACCAGTTCGAGACCTTCATTAAAAAGCTTTCATTAAAAACTGTTTCTTAAAATCTGAGTAGATCGTGTTACATCGAAACAGATCGTGTAAAAGAAGAATGAAATTTGTTTTCTAATTCGTGTTAAATCAAAATCGTGTAAAAAAAGGTCGTGTAAAAACAGAATTTGGTGTAATTGTGTATTCAATTTTTTCCTTGAAAATCGGCTGATATAATATTTCAGGAGGAGCCACCACCCGAAGCCGCGCCAGCTGAAGGAGCACCACCAGGCGAAGGTGGTGCCGAAGGTGAAGCACCGCCGATTCAGTATACCGGCAGTACTATGGCGTGCCATCCTTGGCTTTCTTCGATGATAAATTATGCACAACCGATAAAGTTCCAGAGCTTCGAGACTGCTGAGAGTACGTAAAAATATCGCTCTCTATTTTGCATTAACATAAAGCAAGTAAAAATACTGTACATACAGTGGGTGATCAAATTATTATGAACACTTCAAAGTACCACTGCTTTGAACTTTGATCAAGAAGTGATTTGAAAATACACTTATACTAGTACTTTCTTTATTATGAAACATATTGTTATGTTTTTACTGACATATGACAACGATTATAATTTCTTAAAAAACATATGTATCAATATTTTTTAGTAATTGCTTGAAGTCTGCTTGGCATGCTTTCAATATTTTATTGACCCAATATAAATCGGCAATAACAAGTTATACTTACAAATTATCAATGGTGGCACAATTTGGTAGCTTATTATTGTATAACTATGCCTCTTACTGTACACTGATTATTGAACATACCAAAATATAGTTAAATTGTATAACTATATGTTAAGAAATAAAAGAAAGAGTATACTTCATTATTATTGAAATCATGATAACATCGAAAATATAAATTATGTAATTTCTCCATCTGTTCATAATAATTTTATCACCCACTCTACATTAACAAACATAACTTACCGGGTAAATATATACGTACCGTTATCATTATTTCAGAGAAAAACATTCACCACAACATGTCGTCATTCTCGGAGACCGCTGCGTTGAATTATCTGAAAACGAATTCCGTAGAATTCGTAAATTATAACAAGCGTCAAATGAGTCGAATTTATCCGAAGGGCACGCGAGCAGATTCCTCGAATTACATGCCACAGGTAAATTCTTTGACGATGAAACTATCAAACCCGTCAAAAATGGCGGATTTCGGATTCCTTCATTTATAATTACTGAAATTATAAAAATGCTCCCCGCTAGAATTTCTGTTGATGTTCAATTTATTATACGTTTCGTATTATACGTATTATACTTGTACACATTAATATATTATACAAATTAATTTAGTAAAATTGAATTCAACGTTAGCAGTTCTATTGTTCATCACAAGGAAAGAAAATTTATTAAAAGTTACTCTTCATTCTGTGAAAGAATTTTGATCTATCCTCCGTGACAACCCTGGATGTTTTATGGCATAAGCGAAATTTCACGCTCAAATATTTCCGAAACGAAGAGGTTGTTATTAAAAAAACCCTCTTAACATTCAAGTTTAAAAACTATCGGATCGTGTAGTAGAGACCCAGGGAAGTATCCCTGAATTTTTGCAGGTTTTTCAGAAGCCTATGAGATAAAAAAAGTAGGTCTGGACATAAACGATCCAGGAGGTCACGAAAGCAGTGAAAACAACGGGAGTCACGGAGGGTTAAAGAAACATCACATGTTTCTTTGTAACGTTGCAAAAGTATATTTCATGTGTAAAGAAATATTTCTTGAAATATAAAAATTTCTATGTGCAATCAGTTTTCCATTTAAAGTTTTCAACAAAATGGTAACTACAGTAATTCCTCGATGAATGCGACACAACAGCAGCGTTATTCCCATCACAGAAGCTAAGCAGAGGCTCGGTTGCGTGCAAGAAACAAATTTATAAAGGGCTGAAAACCTTTCCGCCTTGTCACGAATGCTCCGAAGCAAACCCGAGTTCGTTGCATTCATCAAGGTATTACTGTATAAAAAATTTCAGTTCGAAAAATGAATCCAAGATATCCACTGTACGGTATGATCTATATAGATCGAAGCGAAGATTCATTAAAAGACCACAAGTCTAATACTTTTCGTCTCTGCTCTCAATTATTAGGTCTTCTGGAACGCAGGCTGCCAAATGGTAGCACTGAACTTCCAAACGCCTGACTTGCCTATGCAGTTGAATCAAGGAAAGTTTGAATACAACGCAACGACCGGATATTTATTAAAGCCAGACTTCATGAGGAGGCCGGACCGAAATTTCGATCCGTTCTCCGAGGACGTCGATGGTGTCATTACTGCTCAATGTTCCGTTCAAGTAAATATTTCCTTATAATTTGAAATAATTTCAATTAACTAAACTGCCGAAAAAGATCAAATTTTTTTACTGGGAACGCTAATAATGATAAAACACAATGGAATGATGTGTATTCCCATTGTAACAAACGAATTCAAAACATTAATAGTCTTTTTGAAGATAACTAGTATACAGGGTGAGTCATTTAAATCTATCTGTCCGAATGTCTTCGAGACCGTTGATGACAACAAAATATTACAGATAACAGTTGAATGGTTTCGAGGGTCAAATAATTTGATGTAAGTAGTTTTTTGTAAGTGAGCGTGTAGAGGACATTTGAAGGTCAAATTTATTTTCTTGAATGAAATCATATATTATTTAATGTATTAGTCCACGCAGCCCGTCATTTCCTATAAAAAAAATGTGAAGTTATTTGTACCGAAAAGCCATTATAAAAAGGTAAACATCGTGTTAGTACCGCTTCGCAGGTTTTAAATTAAAATATCTCCTAAACTAATGGTATTTTGTCATATACAGGGTGTCCCAAAATAGGTATGTCCTTAAACGAAGTGATTTCTGGGGTGATTTGAAACAACTTTTTCCCTAACGAAAAAGTTCTCCGAGGCTTTGTTAACGAAATATTAACGAAAAACCCCGACCAATCAGAACATAAGTCTCTCGGCTAAGCTCCCACGATAACGTTGGCTACGCGCTACCGCAAGAGCTCAGCCGGCAGATTCGCGCTCTGATTGGTCGGAGTTTTTCGTTAATATCTCCTTAACAAAGTCTAGCAGAACTTTTTCGTTAAGGAAAAAGTTGTTTCAATTTACCCCAGGAGTCACCCCTTATAAGCACTTACAACTGTTTTGGGACACCCTGTATAAGAATAACTTAATACTTTTTTTAGATCAAATAACGTGCTGCGTGGATTAATGCATTGAAAAATGTACATTTTTATTCGAAATAACAAATGTGACCTTTATATGTCCTCTGCGCGTCCACCTACAGAAAAACTACTTGCATCAAATTTTTTCGCCCTCGAAACCATTCAACTTTGGTCTGAAACATTTCTCGGTATTATCACCGATTTCGAAGATATTTGCGGGGATTGATTTAAATGTATAGTTTAGTGAACATAAATGAAGAGTAATTCTTAGTGAATCTTACCTGTTCGCCAGGTGATAGCAGGTCAATTCTTGTCTGACAAGAAAGTGGGCACCTACGTCGAAGTAGATATGTATGGTTTGCCAGCAGACACCATCAAAAAGGAATTCAGAACGCGAATGGTCCCAGCGAACGGGCTGAATCCTGTTTACAACGAGGAGCCGTTCCTTTTCCGAAAAGTTGTGCTTCCGGATTTGGCTGTGCTCCGATTCGGTAATTTAAAATGATTGCTAACTATTATATTTTATATTGCCTTTCCTCAGGACCTGTATCAATATTTTCATTTTCATTTTTAAGTATCACCATCCCATTTTTTCACATACATTCACATATATTCAAAATTATGTATTTTACACTATTACGAAAGTCTGTTTAATAGTCGAATTTCTATTAACTAAATCCTAAAGATGTTAGGATAAATTTCCGAAAAGCACTCACACCCGATAACCCTGACCTTGACATATGTTATCAAGATTACCCTCCCGAGTAACCTTCAAAAGATTTAAACCACTTTAACCCTTTAAGGGGTTTCATACCTTTGAGTTATTAAATAGGAGGGAAATTAAAAAATGTTTTTCGTATATGCAAAATTATTATCTATTGAACATTCAACATATACATCTTATTACATGTTATTTCCTTAGTAATTTCTGAAAAATGGAGCTATATATGTACCTATCAACAGAAAAAAATGGCTGCCATTTATTTATAACCCGTTTCATCAAAACACCTTCTGCGGTACCAAATATATCTCTATAGGCTTTTATCTGTAACAAATTTATTTAATTTTATATTAACGTAAACAAATTGAACTGGTTTTTATGGAAGCCAGTTTTGAAAATATCAATATTCTACAAAATGGTGGTTGTTTGAACTCAAACTTGTAGTTTCCGGCATGAATTTTCAACTTCTTTTGTTATTGAAGAAAGGAAAACTGCACGAATAAAAAATTCGATTCAAGTACTAGAGTTTAGACTTAAGAATATTACCACAAAATTTGATCCAAGAAAAATTGATTTTAGGAAGTCTTTTAAATAGTCTTATAATAAGGTGTATATGGTGAATTTTTACAACACAGAAATTCTGCAAACTCAATAAAATTTTGTATTCCAAAATTCATTTGTATTCCAAATACTTGAAAACTGTTCAAATATGTTTCTTTTACTATTTTAATTTTTTATATTTTTTATTCAGATACCGAAATATGGTGTCTCTAAATGCTGGCACCATTTTACAGCATTTGAGAGGACTTCAAAGAAGTAGTAAATATTTATCCTAAATCCTGGCCGAGTTCTATATCCATATTGATTCATAACAGTATTGTAATATAATATTATGTTGGTGCAAAAACAATTGCGGTTACTATTCCTTAAAGTTTAAAGCAACATATCTCTGCTCATAGTGTACTTTATTAATCGAAATAGGAAGTATTAGATTCTACTCATTTTTGCCAACCAGAAAAGAGCTTATTTATTCCAATCGTGCAAAAGTCTGGATTCCTGGAGCCAATACATAAATTCTTCGAATGCATTTGGAGCTGCCGTTTGACTATTGAAGATCTTCTGTTACAGGAAACTGTCCAGATGCTTGAATACGTCACTATAGAGTCAAGAAAATAGTCGTTTCGGTTCCGCAAATACGCAGAATAGATTTCATAGTATAGTAGTTATACTGTATAATACAATATAACTTAGTATACTATAATATAAAGTGTATAAAAAATTAGAGGTAAACATAAATTCGGATGAAAGTATCTCTAGGATTTCAGTAATTGTAACATAAAAAATCTGAAATCCGCCATTTTGACGGGTTCGATAGTTCTAATGTTAAAGTTCCGAACCCTATTTCTTTTTCTTTTACACCGCAACTTGTCAAAAATATTCACTATCATTTCACTATCATCCGTACGTAGGCGTGTACGAAGAGTCCGGAAAACTGTTGGGTCAACGTATCCTACCGTTGGACGGCCTTCAGGCCGGATATAGACATATCTCATTGAAGACCGAGGCGAATTTCCCAATGGCACTGCCGATGTTGTTCTGCAACATCGAGCTGAAGATTTACGTGCCCGATGGATTCGAAGGTATTAACTCGATGCGAAAATAGATATTCTGTAGCGCCTTCGATGACTCTCTGACCCCGCTTAAAACACGCTTGCAGACTTCATGGCCGCCCTCTCTGATCCGGGCGCGTTCAGCAAGGGAGCGGAGAAACAAGCGGAGACGATGAAAGGGCTTGGAATCGAGCAGACCGACGCGAAGACCGAGGCGAAGAAGAAGAAGGAGGAGGAGGCCAAAAAGGGTATATACATACACACAGTTTTAAACTTTTAACGCCCAGACAGCTAATGGTGCAGAAGTATCGATAGTACTATCCCTAGTTATCGATAGTACTTACTATCGAAAACTATCGATAGTTTAGTTTTCCTGTCGATAGTGGAGACAGTACTGCGAATTTTTAAATTTCAATCATTTCGGGCGATGAATTTCATTTATTTTATACTACTCTTAGTCTTACCGTCAATGTCGAAACATTTTATAGTAATCTTTGCCTGCACGTAGATTTTATGCATTGTTAATTAATTGAGTGATTTGTTGCTTGTATGTTGAATATCTGTTCTTCAATTTATTACCGTTGTTATGTCTTGTTTTTTATTCTAGTTTCTTCTTTTACAATGGAAAAATTTTGTGAATATAATAGCAAAAAAAATAATAAGAAGTTATATTTTATTTTTATACGTGTTATAAACATTTTGTAGAGAAAGATAGCTCAGAAAATCTTGGATAAAAATAGCGATAACAAGATGTACGGGTACATGAAAGTGAAGATAGCGACTCGAATGAATCGAATATTGATTCTGTATTTTCAAAAACAAAGTATAATCTCTTTCGTTTAAAAGTATTTTGAAAGATCAAATGATCAAAAACTAGCTAAATGTAATATTTGTGGCAAGGAATATAAGACTAGCGGTAATACGAACAATTTAACAGATCACATTAGAAGATTTCATTCAAATATAGAAAAAGAATCCATACAAGTTTTAAAGACGCAACTAATTGTCTGTTTACTAGTAAATAAATTTAGTATAAAAATTAATGATTATATGAGATGTAAATTTCATTCAACAATTTTATATAAAGCAAGCAAACATAAGTGCATACATAAGTTCATTTATTTTGTATCTGGTGGTATCTACCTATAACTATCGATAACTACCGATAGCTGATGGCCCAACAATCGACAACTATCGATGGCGCCAATTATCGACATTTCTCCACCTACCCAGTGTAAAAATTATGATACTGATATACAGGATAGACCACGAGACGTGATCAGCTTAGATTATTCTACTGCTAGCTGTTCGATTGAAAATTTCTTTACATGCTTAACCATCGGTGTAGACGTTATAAATGGAACTAAGCAATTGTTTCTTAACCATTTACACGAGTGTATTACAGCTGATGGACACCATTTTGAACATCGTTTTGACCCCTTTCATTCCCAAATTATTTAAAAATTACCAAAGAAATATTTTGTTGTATTTTTGTGTATATTACATAACGTATAAATGTTTCACAAGAACATTTTTACATTTTGAAACCGTCTAATGCCATTTTTCATTCGTTGTCATTTGGCAACTTTTTTACTTTTATCACAGTTGCATACAGTCCGTGGCATAACTATAAAACCACCCTATAATGTTCAATTCTTATGTATTCTGGTTAAAATAAAAACGAACCAGTATGGCATGTCTGAAATCGTGTTGAGAAATAATGTTTCTACAAAAAAGGATAAATTATATTCCATAGAAAAAAATGGTTCGTTTTTATTTTAACAAGAATACATAATTATTGAAAATTTTAGGGTGATTTTATACTTATGCCACGCAGTATAATAAGTCCCATTGTAATGTTATTATACATAATATAACCTCAATTTTTCTTAACTTTGATCAATAAACCCTCTCGAAATGTTTGAACGAAATTAGAGTTTCGTAAGTTTTTATTGTATTTATAACAACACTTGAATTGAAGCTCATTCAAATTTGTGCCACATACATGATATATTGCCATATAAATAATGTTTTATTTCGTAATTAAGAATACGCAGCCATATGGCAACAAGAGAAACAAAAGGGTTAATTAAAATAAATGATTTTTTCTTAAAGTTTCTTTGGTTTAGAAGAAAAAATATTATTTGTTACGATGTTTGTCAAATTTGTCTCAGTATCCGTTAAAAGATATGATTATAGAATTGATTTTTCTGTATTATTCGTTATTTAAACGAATATATGTATACATTTGATTACATATTGTATTTACGAAGGAAAAAAACCCTAACGATAACTTAATTATTTCGGTTGTCAAAGTAGAATTCCCCTTTAAATAATCATACTCATGACTAGACTGTGGATTTTTATGCAAAATAACATTTTCTAAAGTAATTTATTAAGACAGGAGCAAATGTAAAAATGTATGTTTCCTCTGAAGTATCTTATTGGGTTCAGACTGAAACAGAAAAATCATTTGATCCGATGAAAGTTTTATTTTTTATTGTAATTCACAGAGCCCTATGAGCTATAAATGCATAAAGTCCGCAGTCTACTCATGACGATCGGATAACGGGGGAGGAACGGGGCCGTTTAACGAGTAACAGTTCGGGACAATCGATAAATAAACTTCTCGAATAGCTTCGAGATGAATCTCGCTTTACTTCGCTTATAACGGGTGCTCGATAATATACGGTAACTCGCGTAGAACAGTGATGCTACACATTTCCAGAATTAAATTTCACCGTTAAAGGGTTAAGGAATCTGAAATGCATAATCATTTATCCGATAGTTGATAGGAAAAATTACAAGATGCACGGTTAAAATACAATGTCTCGTCGTCGATAAAACTCTCCTACTTAATGTATTTTTGTCGTTATCTATTTAACGAATCTATCTAAAATTACGAATCTACATTTCTATCGATTCGCCGCACAATTCCCAGAGGAGTTCAAACCGGATCCGATTACGGTGGAGTCGTTGCGACGTGAAAAAACGTTCAAGATGGGTAAAAAGCAGCTGAAGGAATTGGACACGTTGAGGAAGAAGCATCTGAAGGAACGGCAGACGATGCAGAAGAACCATTGCGCCGCCATTGATAAATTGGTGAAGGGGAAGGAGTACGTAATTGAAATGTTCTTTCGCATGACTAGATATTACCTTTCTGTAGTTACCGTCGCCCTTAATCCCGGCTGGCAATGACGAATCTCGTAATTCGCAGCAAAAACGCGTTACTCCAAGACGCCAATGTGAAGAAAGTAATAAGCGAACAGACCACCCAATGGTCCGCCATGGTGGAGAAACAACGAAAAGAAGAATGGGAAATGCTGAAGAACCAGACGGAGGCAGCCAGGGAGGAGTTCAAAAAATTAATCGAAGTTGTACAGGCTGCGCAGGTGAAGCAACTACAGGCGAAACATGACAAGTGCGTACATACTACTGTGGTGTCTCTTTAACCCTTTCGCTACGGTGAAATTAGTCGTCGATGTGCTACCACTGAACGGGACTCGAAAACTTCAACTTGCATGCATTTAACACTAGAATTACCAACAGTTAAGACTATTTCTACCAAAACCAGTCAAAATGATTGGTCTTTAAAAAATACGTACTAATAGAATATTTTTGTATTCCATATTATGGAATTCCACGTTATGGAATTATGGCTACTATATAATAACGACTATAATAACTATAATAATATAATTATAATAATTAAAGAATTAGCTCCTATTCCAATGACTATGGTATACAGAATCACCGCGTGAAACGACATCGATGACTATGTTACGTTACATTACGGCTATGTTTATGTTTATATTGTGGCGTCCGATAAAATTTCATAACCAAACATCGATAAATCTATCTAAATATCTAATAAACGATTTCGGATTCAGTAAACAGATTATAGGATACTTTTCCATTTTGAGAAGTACCAGTCAAAATGACTGGTATTGGTATAAGTAACCATGATTCAAAATTATTTCGATTCATTATATTATTTATTAAAATTCATTATATTACACTTTCAGTTATCGCTGCAAAATTCATCACATCATTGCGGAAAAAAAATGTAATATGAAGTAGGAATTTTAAAATGAAATTGTAAAACCAGTCATTTTGACTGATGTGGTAGTTCTAGTGTCAATAAATTAAATAGTTTATCACCTCATTTTAAATAAACATAATTTTCTATTTGCAAATATGAATTGCAAGAAGAATTATCTATGAAATTATTGAAAGAACTTTCTTTCATATAGAAAATTTATTTGTCGTTTACTATTAAAATCATTTTAGTGGTTATTTATTGGAAATGATTTCCAGTAAAATTTTCCCACCACTGATACGAACTGACGCATATTCACGGAGTAATTTGAGAAATACAAATCTATAAAGTATTTTCCATTTTATTGTGTTCAGGGACATTAAAGATATGAACGCGAATCAAGTGAAAATATCAGTAGAAACTGCGAAGGAGGTGATGAACGACAAGGCGTTGAAATCGAAGGGTGACAAAGATCGTAGACTTCGAGAGAAGAAAGAGCAAAATACGAAGAAGTTCATGCAGGAAAGGAAAACCGTGCAGATCAAACAGGGCCGCGAAAAGGAGAAGCTGACGAAATCGCATGAGAAACAGGTGGCCGAGCTTGACGGTGAAATTACCATGGTAAATTTAAAGTTTTGTCGTTCATGGAACTATTCCTTTCATGTTTTACGTCATTAAATACAGTGTGTCGTGTGACTAATGGTACAATAGGGTAGGGAGTGACTCTACATGAAAAAATAAGTCGAAAATATAGAATAACATCTTTTTATTCGAGTCTTCGTTCTCGAGAAAATCGATTTTGAAAATTAATCTACAACGCGTGTACTCGCCGTCGTAGTAAGTAGAAACAGAATGCGATGAACAGACGCGCTAGCCAATTGCTATTCAATTGCACGCCTATCCAGCAGATTTTCAAAGTCAATTTATTCGAAAACGAAGTCTCGAAAGAAAATATTTTATTCTATATTTTCGATTTATTTTTTCATGTAAAATCATCCCCCTCCCTCTTGTAACACAAGTGTCACATGACACCATATATATCTCCGAATTACTTGCACCAGAATGAAGTTGAATTAATTGTTACTTTCTGTTGCAGACCATCGAAATGTACAAAAATGAAGCGATTGAACTTGATTTGTCGTCTAAAACAGAATTCTACTGTTGAATCATGAATTTTAGCTAGCGGTTATCTACGTGAAAATTTTGATTACACGAGGTAAAGGCAATGGTTTTTCTGTGTATCTTTACCTTATTACCTCCTTATTCTGCAATGCATTTCACTGTGTTTCATTCTTTAATACACAGTTTCGTCTCGAGACATTTTGTATTGTTTATACGTACGTTTATATGTGCGTTTGATATTCTTTTACAGAATTTAAATGTTACTTGTAAGTTTCCGAATAACTCCTATATGCTGAATGTGTTTTTGTATGTGAGATATTCCAAAAATAGAATTTTGAAGAAGCCTTTTCTCCAGAAGCTGTTTTCAACCGTTTCTTTTCTAACATATTTTGTGATAATTTATTTCTAAACTGTTATTTATAATTGTACATCTAGTAATTTTAATTGTTATAGTATGATTAAATGTTACAAACTTACATTTAATATAATCGTTAAATTTTATTAATGTAATTATAATAAATCTTTGCGAGTTTCAAACACAAACACAGAAAGATTATGAAACCTTTTATTCATCCGTACAATTATAATACATTATGTACATCGTCGGTTCCTAATTACCGTACACTAATTCGAACAAAAACATTTTGAACTACAGCCGTCACGCTGTGGTTTCATACGGATTTAGTTATGGAAGACCAGACTGCGGATTTTATATGCCTATATCGCACTTGGAGCAAGGATTTCATTGACGTGCAATAAACTCTCTTCTTTGTACTCGCTTTAATAAGGCACTTAACTCGTTCGCAGCTATTGAACTCTATAGGCACTGAGAAGAATCGTTAATTGATGTATCGTCAACGCTTGAAAAAATTGCTCACAATTAAAACCCATATTCGTTGAACCTTCAAAACTTTAAAGAACCCTTAGAGAATGCTAGATTGGTCGTTGGTGTAGCAAAAGGCTGGATAATACTGAACATTCGACGGTTCCCCACTGTCCAATTCTTTAATTTGTTTTCAGATTATTCGGTATTAATTGCAAAAATTGTATTATTGCTTCAGTTCTATATTCTTAACACGATTCGGAGTATTTTCAGCGTTGCATTATTCGTTTTCTGATCTAAAAGTTTCTTTTCATAATTCTTCTTAACTTTTAGAATGATTACTAAACAATAATACATTTTTCTTTGCTCATTTCAATCTTTTTGTTCGGTGACGGATTTGTACATACATAACTGAACACTGAGCATACTCGGGGAAGGAAAAGACCTTCTTTCACGCCTTCACGTGGCCCATCCCGTTAATACTATTACTTTCACTGTTTATATGATGAACATTAATATTCGAAAATTTTGTCGAAAGTAATAGTGGACCTAAGATGAAAGAAAGGCATGTTCAGATCCTGTGGCATTAGTAAATCAAAAACTACAGCTTTTGTCTCGTCAATTGTGAAGTATCTATATGAAACAATTCAGTTAAATATTAAAGACTATGTATTGTACAGATAGACCAATAAAATAAATTATTATTGTACAAGCAATTTTCAATCGTTTGTTGACCTTTTTTGGATTAAAATGTGCCCGAATACAAGAACGCCATATCGCAAAACATAAAAGATTGTCTTTCCTGGAATTGCGGACGAGATATTTCGCTAATCGATGTCGTTCATTGGACTCTTTGGACGATATGTTTCGCATCTCTGTTTATCAATATTTTCAACTCAAAATACATATTTATTAAGTATAGTATAATGGAAAGACTCGCGAGATATCTCGTCCATAGACGCGAAAGGGTTAATACGTATTATAAAAAACTTTACCTTCATTTTGCGTCACAAGTACACAGTCAAATAAATGTTTTATTTTCTCTGTTTTGTAGTACAAATGTGTTGATCCGTTAATAATGATTCGGAATTTGTAACAAATGATACTATCGAATAAAAATTTATTTATTTGAAATAAGTATTTATATTTTTATTCGCGTAAAACCTTATTCAACAAAAAATTTCGATGCGTTATTAACGAAAAAAAAACCGGGGCAATAATGTATGTGCGTATCGCTATATGCAGTCACGAGTGTGTGTGTGCTGTGCGTCATTATGGTGTCCAACGTAGTTCCTGAAGTCGGAAACTTTTATCTAGAGTGCACTCGAATCTGTGTGATTTTCGTGGGACACCAAGTCCCATAAGATATTAGGTCTATTCTGATATCTCGTCTGTGGCTATATCTACACTATGTAGCAAAACAGTGTTACATAACAAATTGTTTTATAACCTTGTTATACAACACGTTTTTATAACCTGTTACAAGATTATACGTTTTCAAGAAGTCTATAACAAGTTTGTATAACATTACGCTTCTCATTATTAATAATAGTGTTACACATAATGGATAACATATAGTTTGCTGTATGACACAAAAAATGTTATGTAACATCATGTTATATAACATTTTTTTCCTGTTATTGTACCAAGTATTATAAATTTGCACTAAAGGTGACCCAAAATAGCTTAGACTCCCGGAAATGTAGGGCCCCTGGGATGATTAGAAATAAATTCTTTCTTAACAAAAATGTTGTCCGAGACTTTGTTAACGAGATATTAACGAAAAACCCCGACCAATCAGAGCGCGAGTCTGCCGGCCGAGCTTCCGCGGTAGCCTTGGCTACGCGTTGTGATTGGTAGCCAACACTATCGCGGGAACTCGACCGGCAGACTCGCTCTCTGATTGGTCGTTGTTTTTCGTTAATATCTCATTAACGAAGCCTCTGATAACATTTTTGCTAAAAAAAAAGTTGTTTCAAATCATCCCAGGTACCTATCATTTCCGGGAGTTAAAGCTATTTTGGGACACCCTGTATAACGTGTCATGCTACATAGTGTAGACGCAGCTTTACACGGCACACCATTCACGCGAAAGACAAAGGGGCAAGAGGAAGGCACGGAGTTGTTAGTTCAATAAACAACGAGAAAGTGAAACAGTGGAACACGGGAAAATAAACGGCGTTTTAAATTTAAAACGCTTTTTCCTTATGCTGTTCTACGAAGCTTCGAATAATCGGCAGCCTATACACTCGTAAAGAGACGATGGAACCGGCACACGCGCCGACCCAGTAGACTATCACGTGCTCCATAAAAGTAGTTCCCAAACATCCGTACTTCAGAGCGGTAGCCAGGGCCGGATTGAAGTAGCCGCCGGAATAATCGAACGCTGAAAACAAGACAAAAATAGACGAAACGACACGGGCCAAACTGTCGATGGGTATTCGTGTGCAAAATGATACGATTCAAACGTACAGGGTGTCTCAAGTCGAGTTGTAAAAACAGGCAGGATATGATTCTATAAGAAAAATAAGTCGAAACAAAAAAGAATACAACTTTTTCGAGTGATGTTTTCAAGGTAGTCGAACTTGGATGTTTTCAATTTTACGTGGTTAGTTAAATTAACAAATATAATATAGTAATAGAAAAATAATTTTCATTAATATTTCATCAAAATATTTCTTTAACCAGACATATTACTATTTATGTAAAAGAATTTATAGTAAAAGTTACGTTTAAAGGATACAGCTCTGATGACCTTGACCTTGACACATATTGAGAAACACACTTTTCTGAGTAATCCACGAGAAGTTTTAGCCTCGTTTTTTATTAAAAAATTATTAACAAAATAGTTTAATGTCGTACTTTAGTAGTATTGAGAAGTAAAATGACCGATGACCTTGACATATATTGACGTATATTGTCAAGGTCACCCACCTGAGTGATCTTCCGAAAGTTGCAGTTATCAAATGGTTATTAAAAAATTATTATATAAGTAACAATGATACCTTTTTCTTGAACTATCTCTAACCAATTCTGAATGACTTTTATTTCTTGAACCGTATCTAACCAACTCTAAAGCATTGTACTGATCGAAGTTGGTTCCAGACAGTACAAGCATTTTTTTTTGTTCATAACTGTTGAGTGTCATAACCAGTGATCGGTGATTTAAACCTTTTGAAGGTTACTCAGGGGGTGATCTTGATAACATATGTCAAAGTCAAGGTCATCGCGGTTGTGGTTAGCTTTCAGAAGTTTATCCTAAATCTCGAATATTAGGTGCAAGATGCTTCGTGAATGTTCGGTGATCGGTTTTAGCTTTCAAGCACTGATCTGTATACGCATATGGATACGGGATGGGGGCTTCTAAGCATAGTATGGGTTGCTGCATTTTGAAGGTACGCCATCTCGAAAAGTACTATTTGTTTAAAATAATTTTGTTTGAGGTACTACTTGTTTTAAAATGCACCGCAATATGATAATGAAAGCTTCACTTTTTCACGTCTTGTAAAGTAAATATGTTCACTTCTCACACTAAAAGATTTTGATTCTTTAGAGGGTTATTGTAAATTAGAATAATATTACAAATCTACCAAACCTGCGATAACCAAACTTGTCCCAATAAACGAGTCAATCACAATGCTGAACCTTGGGTTTATCTCGCTCAAAGCACGCGAAACCACCCTGTAGACACATGTAGCTGCGCATTCGACAAATGCTCCGAATATTACAGGCACCTTGAAAGAGGAACCAAAACTCATTACACAAGAGCAAACGATGGTTTTAACAAATTTTAGATTTATTTTACGATGGAGTAAAAAAATACCTAGTTTTAGCAACCACTTGTGTAAAAGTTATGTTTAAGGGATGCAGCCTCGGTAATCTTGACCTTGACATATGTTGTTGAGGACACTCCTTTGAGTAACCCCCAAGAAGTTATTTATTAAAAAGTTATTAGCAAAAAAAGTTTGCAACATATACCAATTATTTTACCAATTACTTATTACTTTTTTCCTTGAACTCTCTCTAAGCAACTCCGATCAGTATAATGCTTTAGAGTTGTTTAGAGACAGTTCAAGAAAGAGGTATTATTGTTCCCTTAATATGTACCTTTTTAGTAAAATACATTTGATAACTGAAACCTTCTGAAGGTCACTCAGGGGGATAACCTTGACAGTATATGTCAATGTCAAGGTCATCAGAACTGCATCCCCTAAACGTAACTTTTACCACCACTTATAGTAATATTCTCTTTTCTAATGATGCCTGAATAATAATAGTTTAGTACTTCATGTATAAAATGTAAACGAATATTAACTTTATTGTATTACTTCCTCGGTAAAAGGAAATTCAATAAGCTCCACTGAATACGGAAAATCAGATGATCTCTCGATCAAGTAATTGTGTCGTCCTGACATTGAATATTTCTTAACGTGCCAAGAAAAGTGCCATTTCTGTCGAAACATCGCCCGTGCAGAGACCAATTCAGAGCTTACTGTTATTTCAAAGCATCAACCTAATCTCATCTTTCTTTTCAAGTAATATAGTCTACTATTTCATACATTAGTATGAAATTTATTTAGTTTTCAATATTATCATATTTTCAAATTAAAGGAAATTCAGCATACGCTAATAAATAAGGAATTCTTTGAACAATTCCTTAATGCGACAAACAAATGATAGTTTTCCAGACTCTTCCTGTAGATTCGATTTAAAACCTGTAACTCGTAGCTACTTTTGAAACACGGTACGACACTTACTTTCAAACGGTATTCAATCGCGGTAGAATTAGATGATTTCGATAATTTTTCAATATGTTGTCAAGGTCATCACCATGAATAATGTTGTGAAGGTTTTAGTCGGGGGTCGCCGTTTGTAAAAAATATTGTCAAAAAAGGTTTAGTTAGATAATTATTTAAAAGTTTGGCCTTCTCACTAATTTCGATGCGCTGAAGTCAAAAACATCATCATCATACATATCAGTAAAATAATATTTTTCTTTCAAAATTACTAACAAAAACAAAGTATCGTCCCCCAAAACAATAGACAAAGTTGGTTAGAGACAGTTCAAGAAAAAGTCATTCAGAACTGATTAGAGACAATTCGGGACAGATGTATCATTGTTCTGTTAATAACTTTTTAACAAACAACATTTGATAACTGAAACTTTCTGAAGGTCACTCAGGAGGGTGACCTTGACAACATGTGGTTAAGATCATCGGTTATTTTACTTATCAAAACTACTAAAGTACGATACTAAATTTTTTTGATAATACCTTTTTTACAAACGACGATCCCAAACTAAAATCTTCACGACACTACTCAGGATAATGACCTTGGCAACATATTAAAAAATCATCGAAATCAAACGTGATTCAATTTCTCTAAATATTTACCATCGATCGTAAATCAAAGAACGATTCCGCGTCGATTAGCGACAAATCAAATATTTATCGTTCTTACTTGCAAATCGGTTGTACAGTCCTCAAACGCTTTGTTCCTGTGGGTCGAAACAATCTCCAGCGCCCATAGCAATTGTACGTATCGAAAGATTGCAAGTCCGCCGACAAGTTCAGCCCAGATCAAAAGGAAGGCGTCACGCAGCGATTTCTTGCCCTCGACCATTTCCTCGATGTGCGTATAAGGGCAGGCGCTCGCGTCGCCCCAGTTCATGGCCCACCAAATCGTCAGTACGAACAGAAACAGACCGTACATAGAGACACCCCAGTTCTCCGCGACTGAGGTCCGATGATTCATTTGTAACAATAAAAGGATAGTTTATTCTTAACTAACAAAGGTATGGTTGATGGACAAGATATAACGAACTACAGACTCCTCTCGATTATCGTCTGGCATGTTCTACACGATTATTGTCCAGGCGTTATCCCCACCAGTGAGTGGGGGGGAGGGCTTGGAACCTGTCAAATGCATTCTTCGTTACCCCTCCGCTTTTGTTACGAAGCTCGGGCTTTAGTTAAAAAAAACGAATTTACGAGGCTCTGAAGCATTTCCCCCTATAAGATTATTGTCCCCGTAAGGACCCGAGTTCGAGACGATAATCGAGAGGAATCTGTAGTAGATTTAAACTCCTTTGGGGTGGACTTCCGAAAAACACCCATATCCGATGACCCTAATTTTAATACATGTTATTAAGGTCATCCTTCCTGGTAACCTTTAAAAGGTTTAAACCGTTGATCATTAGTTCTTAAAAAGTTATTAACAAAGAAAGATTGAAAAACCTACCGTGATTTTCCCTGATATCTGAACATTTGGAACGTAGTGTCTTTAAAAAATACTGTTCAATTATACTATCTGAGTTAGAGCTAGTTAAAAAACAAACTAGTAGAATAAATGTTTGCTTATTTCGTCGTTGAATTTCACTAAAAATTCGCGGTGATAATAATGTTACCTTTTTTTCTTGAACTGTCACTAACCAAAGCTGAATTATTTTTTTCTTAAACTATCTCTAATCAACTTTGAAGCATTATACTGATAGGAGTTGGTTAGACACAGTTCAAGCACTTTTTTGTTTGTAACTTTTTAACATCCAATGATCAGCGGTTTAAACCTTTTGAAGGTTACTCGAGAGGGTGATCTTGATAACATATTTCAAGGTCGGGGTTATTGAGTGAAGGTGCTTTTCGGAAGTTTATTAGAGCGATAAACAGAAAATATACAGGGTGAGTCAATAAGAATTATTATCTAAAATAACCTGAAGGTCATTGAAGCAGATCACGATTGTACACATTGTCTGGAATTTTCCTCAAATTAAAATATATTGTAGTCCATGTGAAAATAGGGGGAATTTAAGTCTTCATTTCTGACTTCAAAAATGTTAAACAAATACAGAAACACAAATTTGGCAATTGCCGCCGCTTTTTACGAAAACTATCTTCACAGAAGCATTTTTATCTCCACAACTATAGATACAAATTTTACAATTTTATTTTCATTTTAATCGTAAAGGATCGATCCTTTTTTTTTGTTTAAAACATTTAAAATATTATTGTTTTACTAATTTGACCCCCGGTTTAAGTTTAAAAAATTTGGAAGAAAATATTTTTGTATTTTATGATCATTCCTCTTTAAACTTGAAACTTGTAATTCGCGGACACTCTAAAACTGTGGTCGAAGCAGGCCGACAAAGGTCAATGGAGTCCAGCGATCCAGGTAAACGCGCCGCCAGGTCGACCGTTCTCCTCAGGTAGTCCCGGAAAGCCCGATGTCCTTCATACTAAGAACGATATTAATTAAGTCGTATTGTAATCTACGAAATGGGATTATCGGTGTCCCTAGAATAAACATTTTTATTATTTTCCTGTCTCCTAATACCTGTGTGACCTCGTTATTACTGTTCGTGTGTTATGTTCCTATGACTACTTTATAAAAGGTAGGAAAGGAAATAAGTAAGAGGCATTAAAAACATTTCAAAAACGTTTTATTAGGGTTCTGTAAATTTGTAAGAACATTCTGGGTATATATTGGTGAATCCTTTATGCCTGAGAATTAGTCTTCGAAGAGCTCTCGTTGTGTCCAGTGCGGAATTCAATAGGTATTGAAAATTGTCCAACGGTTGTGTTACAATCCATTCCAACGACCCTTACATTCTTGTGTAAGTCAAAACTTACGTAGATTACCACCATTCCTCGGTCCTTTCTTTCCTTATATTCCTCAACGATCATTAGTGTGTGACCGTTGTCGAGTGATAATGTTACATGTCAAGTGGTGTCAAAATCAGAAAAGAACATGATCTGAAGATGGAATATTACGCGAACAATTTACATCTCAGGCGGACAGGACGTCTCCGCAAACAGATCCATCGGGTATCGTTAATTCTTAGTTTGAAAATAGTGATAGATTCGAAAGTAATGGAACACACGGAACACGAAATAAAAGTGTAGTGAATGTAACGAACACGTTAATGCCCGTGGTAAATCAGTCTCTATTATCTAGCCGTGTACTTCGATCGTGTAAAGAAGTGGCATCGAAAATTCAGAAATTTAATACTTCGAAAGCAGAATTATGACACAGGAAAATAATAAAAGAATTTCTTCTGGGAACACCAATAATCTCGTTTCGTCGAGTACAATACAGTAAGACTTATTCCTACCGTCCATAGTATATCCGGGTTTTCCAAATCTACCTACGCGCTACGGTCCAATCACCTGTATTGTCGGACGGCCACGCCTTTGTCGACCTGCTCCGGTCGCCACATTAAAGTGTCCGCCAATTAAAGAAATGAATTTTAAAGATCACAGATTACATATACATTTTTTCCAAATTTTTACATTCATGAATCAAGTATCAAATTTACAAACCGAAACTATTTTTAATATTTTTGCATTATACAGAAATAACTGTACGTTTGAAACAAAAATTTAGTTAAAAGGGATGACCCTTTACGATTAAAATGAAGAAAAATGAAGAAAAAAGAGGTGGTAAACCCCAGGCGCGAGGGGTCACCGTGGCAATGACCCCATGAACTCGTGCGTCCGCGGGAGACCAAGTCATTACCCATTCTTTTTTTTTATCGAGGAGAAACCTTCAAATCCCTGGGGGTGCGAAGACTGCCTGTGTGCTAACCACGCACCCAAAACAGTAAAGTAGTGATACCGACAGTTTTTTACGAATATCTCGGAAACCAGGGCCAACCCGACATTTTCGTGAAAGGAAAAAATTATTCAAAATGTTGATTTCTACAACACATTCAAAAATCATCGAAATCAGTGAAGAAGTGGTTCTTCGATAAGTTGACCAAATTGTTTTCTAAAGGTTGTTTTCGTAAAAATCGATGGAAATTGCCAAATTTGGGGCTCTATATCTTTTAAACAATTTCAAAACCACCGAAATGATGAATTAAACTCCCCCTATTTTTGCATGGGCTATAACATATTTCAATTTCAGCAGAATTCTAGACATCCTGTATAAAAATGATTCGCTTGGCCTGGAATGAACTAAATAAAATAAGGTTTCTTGAACATAGCTTATTTTAATTCTCAATTATCGGGGGCGAGTGTTTGTAGAAGCGATTAGTGTCAAGTTTGAGGGAGTACATAATCACAAGTGTGATGGTACGATATACTTACTTATTATGAGTTCGAAGCATGCCCCGCAGAGTTCGGCGGTAGCAATGCCTTCCAAAAATAGGGATCTCACGAACGGGTCCCGTATATAATAGTTCACGTATCTTCTTGCCCAATACGCTATGAGACTAGTAAGTACAACGTACAACGTGGAAACAGCTAATGCGATCATTGTTGCAGCCATGGTGCCGGTGTTTTGTATTCGAAAAAACCTACAAACAGTGCAATTAATCATTTCTGCTCTAAATCACTCTGCGTACAGTTTAGAAAAAATCGTTACATTACGAAACCTTGAATGAAATTGGCTCTGAATCAACACCGAATTAAAGTAATATACAGAGTGTTTCCGAAATGGAGATACAATTCAAAAGGATGTTAATAATAAATAAATAAGTTAAAAAGTGTTGAATTAACACTGTTTTCGTGGGGTAAACCAACCAGTAATTGACTGCATACCAGTGAATGACCATTATGCTAAGAAATGTAACTTATAAGTTTAAAAATTATTAAATGTTTATAAATAGAGTGTAGTTGCACTCTTACTATCCCATACTTTTAGTTTTGCAGATATATACATATTTTTAGTTTAAACAAACATTAATAAGTACAATTCTTATTAAAAATATTTCAGAAATCTAGCAGTCATTTACTGGGCTTTTACACGTTTTTCTCTTTATAAACAATTTTTTTTAAATTACGATAAGAATAAGTAATTATTTTTATAAAAATTTCAAGAAAAATAATTGTAATTGCAATTTCAGCAGCTGTTTTGTCGTTATAAATAAATACATTCCAGTATTAATGTCAAAGGTCCATAAATTCAACAATTCGATTATTCACTGGTTGGTTTACCCTACGATGCTTCGTTTCCAAGATAATCAATTTTTAAAATTCTTCCAAAGCGTGTCGTATGTATTCATAGTGACGATAAGTAGAAACAGAACGCAATGAACAGACGCATTGGCCAAGCCCTATTCCAGTGATTCCCGACCTTTTCTAAAGTGCGGACCCCTATTGTGAGTAACATTTTTTGGCGGAACACTTACCTAAATTACAATGAAGTAAGTTTGTTGTCTATTATATAGTTTATATTATATCGTTTATTAATACTATTAATAAAATTAATCTGAAGCATCTTTCACACACAAACAGTAATTTTACGTACGATAATAATAGCAATACCTTGCAATTTATCAAATTACCGCGGAACACTTTGGAAATGCTTACGGAACACTAGTGTTTACATTTCGATTTATTTTTCCACGTAGAATCACATCCTTTCGGATTGTAAGTACCATTATTTCCGAAATACCCTGCATTTACCTGTCGCTAAATCATAATATGTATACGCAAACTATCGATGCCAAATAAATTAACAGATGTCTATAATTAAATATCAAATATTTGCTATTGCTCCACTTAACCCAAACAGTGCACGAAACCCATTTACATCGCGACTTAAATTGCAAGGCTTCCCACTTACAACGGCAACGGTAAAACTGACGATGGGCCCGCGATCATTGAAGCCTATATGTATTTTCCGAATGATCAAATGTAATTGATTAAATCGTTCAATACACTGGGGAACAAAAAGAAATTTTGTTCATGATGCCAGGGATTTAAAATCGATTTCAAAGTGCATAACGATTCTGATATCGCATTATATCTTCGTTTTAGCTAAATTAACTGCGATTTTCAAAATAATCGAAACTGTTGAAATTTAACGTTTGTGTCGTTTTGAAGTATCTATTACTGTTGCGTTTTTATTAACTATCCTCTTCTCAAAACTCTCTTGTGAAATTTGTTTACTTTCGGGTTAGTGATTTCTAAAGTAAAGAATAAAATAAGTGATTTTATTTTGTTTCAGAGGTGAATTGTATGGAAGTGATTGTGTATTTTTTTTTTTCCTAACTTTCTAATACTTTTTATACAACTATCCTGTCTCTTCTTATAGCATTTTATAAATAAAATTAATTCAGAATCATAGAAATTGGTATGTTTCATTTTTTTTACTTATTTTGCATAAATATTTAAGGCATACGCATATCTCAAAAGCTAAAGCGAATCAAGACTAGAAGCATTAAATTACACAAAATCAACTCTGTGTAATTTGTCCCAATTTAGAGGGATATCGGCCAGTCTCTATCCGCGGATTATTCCATGTTTGGCGATACAGAGCAGACATTACAGTTTCGTAATGCAAACGAGTTAAGTGTTCAGTATAAAAAAACATATTTATTATTTTCATGTTATTGTATATGTTCATTTAGGAGTATTTTAGGACGATTTTACCGAGTTTCATGAAAATCAGAGGATAGACCTTTTAAAAACCGAAAACATATGTAATATTTCTCTTCTAGTTGAAAGCTTAACGTTGCATTAATGGTAGACGATCGAATTGGTACGTATTTCTATTACATCAGGTTCTCTAATAAGTTTGTTCCTCTAAAGTATTAGGTTTTCCACAAAATTAAAACCCAGACAATTAAATTGGTATCGCAGCATTATTTTATTTCTATCGACGAAGAATTAAACGTTCATCAGAAAATTGACAGAAGAATTATAGACAATAGATAAAAACGATATCGAGTATGGGGTTACACAGCAATTGCGCGATATTAATAAATACTTCTCACGGGAGAACGACGGCGTGGTTCCTTTAAATACACCTAACAATCAAACCGTTTGAAAATTAGTCATTCTCGAGATTCTCCGGTCACAGGTATAGCGGCTAGGGAAGTTAGTGTATTGTTACGTGAAATTTCGAGTCAAAAGACCAAAATGTGGACAATAAATAACAGTGAGTTGATCGATAGGTTTAGGTGCCGATCGTCACCGCGCGTATTAACGTCATCATAATGCACGTATAAAATGCATGCAACGAAAAGCTAAAACCAGGACATTATGCAACACGGGACAACGATCGTTTGACAAACTATGGTTTCAGGCTGTCTGTCTGTGGGGGCCGTTAGTGTCACCCGTATTACATACTTACGTGCCTATTGTCGAGACCCGTTCGCCCTCCTCGTCATTTCTTCCCGTTCGGGTTCTCGCGCGTTGACACGGTATTTGAACTATTTATCTGTCCTTTCTTTCCCTTCGCGTGCCCGACAACAGTTATTTAAAACTGGCCACTGTAATTGAATATATCCGAGCGGATATGTCGCGTCGCTTTAAATAGCCGTACCTCCCGAATTACCTGCTTGGGCATCGTCGTCTGTTAAAAATCCGCCGGTTACTCGTGTGTGAAACAATATCGAAAAGAATTACCAGCCTGTGGGAATGCATTTATTAAGCATATTCTAACCCGCAAAACGTGGTACAATGAAGATTTCTAATATTTGTTTCGGGCTGTTTTGTATGTATATTATATTTATTATTAACATAGTAAAATTCCCGACACATGAGATGAAATTCCGTTCAATTTTCATTTCTGTATAACAGCACTATAAAACTGTGAATTCACATAAACATTCGAAGTCGATTAATTAGCTATTAGGAGATTTACATTGGACACCGATGATGTTATTTATTTGAAATGGAATAAAAAATAAACAGTAGATCGCGATTGGTTCGCTGTGTTTGCTGTGATTTTAACAATTGTTGTAATACGAATACCAATACCTTTCATGAACTTTTTCACGGACAGTACCCAGATAGCACATGACGCCTTGAAGATGCCCATTTTACGGCTATTTTACGTCTAAGGCGCTTTTAAGCTGTCTTCAAAGCGTCATTAGGCACCATGTACTATCTGAATATGGTAAGAAATTAGTATTTATTAATTGTTGCTTATCATTTATTAAACAAATATTCTGTACCCATTCTCCCTCACTAATGAACAAATATCTTCTTGTTATTTGAATTTCCAAATAAGAAATAATTTTTCATTCAAATATACTTATTCAAAATTTAAATAAGTGTTAATTGTATAAGTATTAATAAGTAGTAGTAAATACTGTTTGATAAACTCTGTTTAAGAATGCAAACATAAATTCTACATAAAGGAGTCTGACAAAAAAAGTTTTATATTTTTATATTAAAAATCCTTTCTATGTTCAGTCCTTCGCAGTGTTTTGACGCATTATTGACTTTATATAACTCTATTAAATAATCTATTCATTCGTGGTATGTGTCTTGCTATTCGGTGAATTTTCAAAAATTTCTTTCATTCCATTTAAAAAACTTAAACATTGTTTCGATTTATAACTTTATATAATCGAATCGTATATCTTGACGTATATTAATATATTAATTATTAAGCCCTCAATACTAATTTTTTCTAGAGAATTTGTTATCTGTACACGATATAGATGTTTATTAGAGATGGTGTGCAAAATCACTAATAATGATTTATCACAGTGATCGCAGAATCACGATCATGGTCGTGATTTAACTTCATTTATGTCCGTGATCGTGATTTTTTTATCTTCAGTGTTTCTCACTGTGATCTTAATTTTTGATCGTTAAAGAAACACATATTCAATATGATTTGAACATGAATTACATGAATATTTGCATTTTGAAAAATCAGTAGAAAAAATTAAATTATAAAACAATGATTTGCTATAATTATACACCATATATTGTTGATTAGAATTTATAATCATTAATTTATTCATTATTCTTCATTATTTCTCATTATTCCTTTACTTTATACGATGTAATTAGCATTTTTGTTTTTATGTAATTAATATTAAATACACAAGTTATGTGACGCGTACAAAGAACTGTTGTTATATTCTCCACCAATCAGAAACGATCATGAAAAATCACGAATCACTGTGAAAAATCATCGCAATTGGGAACGCATGTGATCGAATCACCCATGATTTACAAGTAGCAGTTTACGCCATCTCTAAAGTTTATTTATTATTGTATTACTTCTACTTATTAAGATTAATATTATTTGATATTCATTTATGAAAGCAGGACATAAATAAAATAAAATTCCTCTATTGAAAGTTTTATTAAATCAAAAACACAATAAAAACACTATCAAAGTTTTTTTATTACACGTGGATATATGTTATAAATGCTTAAAATTCACACTCTGTTTATTAGTAGAATATTTGAAGAAAGAAATATTTTTGAATACGTGAATTGCTGTAGACGAAAATTATAATTAAATTCATTTTTTCTTAATTTATTGATCCATTTTTACTATTTAAATAGAATTGATTATTAGTAGAATTATATGAACACACTTTTATTAATTTTATAGATTTCTCTAAATCATGTTGCATTTCCGTTATATTTATTTATCTAAATTTCTGTTCTGTGTTTATTAAATATTAAAAAGTACTTATTTTTATTTTATAAGGATTCATTCTACGTTTACATTCGTTATCTTGTTAGTTGTACAATCTTTTAAAATCAATCTGACCTTGATCAATAAACGGATCGGCTTCTCTAAGGTTCAGTCTGTTATAATCAATCTGTTACCCGATCACTTGTACTACTGAACGTGGTAAGTTCGATAAACCAACAGGAATATCCTTGATAGAGTTCGTTGACTCGCATTGTAATGAGATGAAATGGTTTCATATATGAGAGGCGTGATGGACGCTCAACCAATCCGAGACTCACCTTAGAAATTGTCACTACATCCACTAATTATCTCCCCATTATAATCCCAAAACAAGTGGGTAAATTTGATAAATTTTGCGAATGCAATTATTCAGACACAAATATCACAAACCTCAATTTAATTGTGAAGTAAAATTGAAATGCAAATAGAATTAATAATATAGTTATGATTGGATGTTTTTATTCATTTTATGAAGTATTAACTACATTTATTACATAAGTAAATGATTCCATGTTTATGAATGTGGGTTAACTTCAATTTTTATCGTTATAAAAAAGAAAGTAAACTTTATTTACAAGAATCAAAAGACTCTCCTTTGTGCTTTTTGGCCGCTTGAGGGTCATCCTGATTCTCTGTTCTTACCATTAACCTGGGAATCCGTTTCGATTTTAAGTAGGACATCGTTTCACTTGATGACCTAAAAAATAAAAATTGATGTACACAGTAAATAGCATATTTTTTTCAAACAATTATCGATGAATTAAAGTTACAAAATCTTATTAATGTAAAAATTGCTTGATTCTGTGAAGTGAATATGAAAATGAAGTTCGATTTTTTTTCATTCAATTGATGAAAAATATTCTTATAACATTAAAAAATGTTAAACAGGCACACTATACATTGGATACGTATACGATCTTTCACGTTCCTAATAGCAAATTATAAAGTTTAAATTGTCCAGTTTAATATTTACCTCGGGTGAGAAGTTCTAGATTCTGTCAACATTTCTGTCGAGCTAGTTTCAGTCGAACTGGAACTTGTACATGGAGAATAAGGAATGATCTGATAAGTAGTCCTATTGACTATTTCGTTAGTTGGTTCAGTATTTTCTGTTTGATTTGGCATATTATTACTAATACGATGTTCGCCGCCATCTAACATAGGCTTTTTCTTATCTGCTACATCTGACTTTATTGATTTCAATTCAATGTGGTTTTCAGCCTTAGTTTTTAATTTACCATCTTGTGTAGGAAAAATTACAACTGGTATGGTAATATTCTTGTCTCCTTTGGTTGCATTCATTAACTTAATTAATAGTTTCGACAGTTCTTCCCTTTTCCTTGTCACGGTTATTTCCTCAAACCAATTTTTTAACGTTTTGATTGGTAATGTATAATCTTTAATGGGATTCTGAAATACATTGTTATTGTGCAGTTAACATGAAATCAAAATTGGTGGCAACAATAATAATAAACAATTGTTTAAACATAACCTTACTTTAAAGAAGCTCTCCACATACTGTAATACATATAAGCCGCAATCAGTAAAATTTGATTGCTGAGGAACTTTTAAGGATGCTCCTTTAATAGTATCCTTTGAAAATACTTTTTCACTTCCCATTTTTGCAACATATTCGCAGCTCAAGTAATCCCTTAACGTAGCTACTACACGTGATCTACTTGCTCCCGCGAGAGAATCAAATATTAATATACACGGTCTGTAAAAAAAATATATCGTCATCATACTTAATACGTGGCATTTTAGTGAGAAATATAAGTAAACACTTACAGTTTTACAGTATCCTTTTCCTGTGGCACATTTTGTTCTACTTTCGGCGGATGACTTTTATCATCTGTAGTTTCCGATTCGTCCTAAATTATAATACATTTTATAACAGTTGCAAATTCAGTGGTCATAAATGATTTTACAACTATTTATAATAAACTTACATCATCCTCACTATCCATCTCCATTTCTTCGTCGTCGCCTTCTGCTTCATCTCTCTCCGAACCATCGTCGGGTTGATCTATAGTTATAGTAGTCGTCACCGGTGCGAGAGTTGTGTCGCCAATTGTAACAGCTTGAAGTTTCACTTCCTTCAATTTTTTACTTCTATGTACAGTCTTACGAACATCGTTTTCCTCGAGATGAATGCGATTTGTAGAAACTTCGCCCACCAAACCAGGAAAACAAATAATAGCTAAGAACCAGTGGGCACTGTAACATATTGTTTATGTAACAAATGACTGAAGAGCTGAACGTCTAAGGAATCACTGGTGTTATAAATACTTACTGTTCGTTTATAGGTATTACAATAAAATCCTTTTCAAATATGTTTACATTTTTTGTCCATTTCTGTACCCTAGCATGTCTTTTTGTAGCAGGCGATTGGGGAACCACATTACTTTCAACCGCTTGAGCATGTGGACTTGTCAATCGTTTATAAAAGTATGAACTAAATACATGTGTTCTATGTTGGTCGGATTCTGATAAGACTTCTAACGTCAAATATTTCAGATAGAAATCTATAATTACATCGTTTAAAAACTGATCTTCGCCAAGACACAAATAATCTTCGGTATTAATAGCTATGCCACCTTTCGCAGGTGGTGGAGGATATACAGTTATTCTGTAAACAATTTCAACGAATTAATATATATGGATATACATACATAATATTGTATGCAATATTAATACAAAACCTATACTGTGTATACATAAGAAAAACGAAAAGAAATTTATTTCTTACGTTTGTATTCCGCCATTAATATTAGAATTATTTATCGATGACCCCTGACTGTCTCTCCTCGATAAACTTTGAAGTTGTAAACTCTGTAGAAGAAAATATTACAAATTACAATTTTTGGACAATAACTATAGATTAACGAAAATGTTTTGTTTCATGGTACGTACATCTTTCGGTGATGCCCGTACAAGAATATCATTCGCTTCTTTCGAGCTCAATTCTTCTAGCAAACGTCTTGGCATGAATAAATTTTTAAGCACAACTTTTGCTTCCTCTGACAATTTTTCAGGAAGTAAAGTTATTCGCTTATGCGTGTGATCTACATGAAAAACATTAAATTTTTATATTTTCATTTCACTTCAAATATAAATAATATCGTATTTTTAAAATAGGTACCTTTCCCTGCAGGATCGTAGTACGGTCCTTTTGGATCCTGCATTCCTAATAATTCACGAATCATAGCTCCAGTGTTAATAGACGTATAAAAGAAAAGCACTGGCATTGATTTCCCAAAATGAATTAGCGCTTTGACAATATCTTGAAATTTAACTTCTAATGTAACAAAACTTGTGTCTAGAAAAAATACACATATTTATAAACATTTAGTTTATTACGTATTCGTGAATTAGTTGTCATTGTTATTGTTATTAATAAAAATGAATTTACCATCTTCTAACAAAGGTACGCCAAGTCTTACTCCATTTTGTGAGATTACTACTCTCTCCCGAGGAACATATTTATAAGAACCTATCCTTACAGTTCGACACAACAACGAAGTATGAGGAAATTGAGTATAATTATCTGAAAAATTTATATTTAATTTCCTTCTAATTCTTTGCTCCAGTTCGAAATATATGTTTTTCACAGATTATATAACCCAATCGAAATAAGTAATTTTTCAAAATTACCTTTCATGATATCTTCACTCTCCATGACACAATCTACACTTGTGCTAGAAATAGAATTGTTTGTAATTACTGGTTCCTTTTCAAAAATGGCCTCCATTTCTTCAGTAAGACTATTACTTGCACTAAGTGAAAATGTACTATTATTAGAGCCCTCCGATTTTTTTGTTTTGCCTTCCTCTTCCTCGTCTGATGATATTGTCAAACATTCTGAATAATAAATACCATGTGTGACTTCATTTTTTCACATGAATTATTAAGTTATCTTTTAATAGCATTTCAATTGTCTTCGACTTTAAACGTATTTTATTAGTCAAAATAGTTTCATGTCCCCGTGGAACACATGTATGTTCATACCATCATTTCGAAAAACGTGGGTTCTTGAAAGTAAACTGAATTTGAAACTAATATGTAGAAGACAGTATTAATTATAATACTTTTACTGAATGATTTTTTTGTTACAAAATAATTTGTACCAGAAGCTTGAATAAAATTTAATGAAGTTTCCTGTAAGTTTCACGCAAAAATTTCAAATGTAAAATTCACATCATAATTTGTTACCTTAATTTTACCCCAATGTACCATCTGTGTTCGTTTATTTTAAATACCCTTTTAGTAGTTTTATAGTTAAAAACTCTCCAACTAAATATACATGTAGTATTCTTTTGTTACATCCTGTATAAACGGTAGCAATAAAGTTACATACGTTCAGACAACCCCTGTACAATACAATGGTTAGGTTCCTAAAAATTGATGTGCTTTGTGAATTCGTGTTATACAAAACTAAGAACTATTATGTACACACATACAAAAGACAGACTTAACGTGTTAGAACAAAACCGTGTTATTCAGGAGTTTCCCCAATTTTCGTTTTAGAGCAAAATCGTCTTATGGGAATGTCGTGTTAGACAGGGGTTGCCTGTGCTCCATTTCCTAAATTTACTTTAGCACATCGTACAATTTATTACTTTTGACTTTTAATTTCTATTTATTCGAGACACAACATGATTTGTGTTCATATAAGAAAAAATGAATGTCCTTTAAAACTCTGACAATAATTTTAAGAATAACATTTTTATATTCTTTCTTCTAACTTTTACCATTTTCATTACTACAAAGCACTTTTAGTGTTTAAATCATACCATTTACGCAATAATTTAAAACAAAATAAATTATTATCTCTTTACCTGGCTCTTTACGAACAGGCCTTGGCCTTGCAGCACCTCTTCCTCTCCCTCTTCCACGTTTATAAACAGACCCATCTCGTTCTAATTTCTCCAATTTTGCTGACGAATTTCTTTCATTGTTTTTCTTATAAAATGTCTGAAAACGTAATACATTAGGATATACTTACAAGTTTATGTATATATTAAAATTGATTCACACGATACGTAAAAAGAAAATTAAAATAAAAAGTCTGTTTTGATGTTTATTGAAAACTGCTTCTAATTTAACTTGAAGTATTACGTCAGTATTATAAACAGATTTTCAAATATATTTTAGCGCGTAAAAGTTTTTAGTTTTCCGTGTATTTGGGTCTCCAAATAATATCCATATTTTTTAATTTATTATTATCATATCACCGTTTAACTGGATAAACAAATATGAATACACTATAGCAGTGTACTACCATTTTACAATTCTTACATCAACAGACAGCATGGTCTCCTTCTTTTCACGTATACCCATTGTCATAGGTATAGACTTCACATCCTTGGATAATTTTCTTTTACACCGATAACACCGGTTGAAGTCGATTGAACTGATGCCACAGTGTGAACAGACGGCAAGCATTCCCTCAATGTATATAGGCTCCTAGTTCCATACAAAACTTATTGTAGGTACTGATTGTGAATATTTTATCAGATTACTACTTTTTCATTATATAACAAACTAACGCAAAAATGTATATAAACTATAAAAAGAAGATAAGATATTTACAGATATCCTACTATCGTATTATGAAGTAAAATATGACATATATGTTAATGTTAATACAGTTATGGCTTCGTCCTAACGCGGGAAACGCATACTGCATATAAACTCTACTAATCAGGATAGTCAACATTCAATATGAACGTGCAAATAATATACTAAACGAAATTTAATGTTTAGTACATTATTTCCATGTGTTAATAACAAGAAAAGAGTAGATAAGAATTGTAAGAAAACATTTGTATCAACTTTTGTAGTGGTAATAATAAGGAACCAAATGATCTGTTGCAGTAACAGCATGAAAATTTGTAATATTACATCCATGTTTCGTGACAATAGTTCATCTGTTTTATAACAATTTTGTTTATTTGTTATTACGCCCTTTTAGTTTTTATTTACTTGATTAAGTGCCACACTCTTTACTAATATGTGCACATATCACTTTTATTATTTATAAATTGTTTTATAATGATCTATGCACAGAGTGAAATAAACAATAAATAAACATAATAAAATGTTTTTCCTTTTTTGCACCAAAAACCGAAACAATTCGTGTATTACTATAATGATGCGAAAATATTTTCTTTAAAAGAAGTTAAGCATTTTTTTTTATAAATATTTATATGAACAATTTTCATTATTTATGTGTGCCGACTTTTATCCCTGCAATTATGCCTACATGTTCTGATGCACCATGTATAAAATATAAAACACAGAATTCTAGAATGTTCTGTATAAAACAATACAATCTGAAAAGAAACAGTGAAAATATTTTATCAACTTACCTCATTATGTTGAACAGGATTGCTGTTCTCATCTGGTGAACTGAAACATTAATTTAAAGGTAATGCGGTTTTAGTACAAATTATGGGAACATTTAGTGCTAATTATGTTTAAATGCTTATACATATCAGTATAAACTTTGATCACTATTAATTTAATGAATAACCTACCTACGAGAATGATCTAAACTAGTATTTGAGGTATCGTGTGAATTATCATTTTCATTTGTCTCATGTGGCGCAGTGGTTCCGGAGGATCTAGTATCCACAATATAATTTATGCCCAAAGTAGGATCAGAAACCAAAGAAACAGTTGTTGATCCACAAAATATTATATTTGCCTACAAACATAAATGTTTATGAATTCAGTCATTTCCAATAAAATTCATTTTACGATCAATTAATATAATAATGGTTAAAATACCTGCTCTAATAAGTCTTGAACCGTGCAATCCTCATTTGGTATATCAAATGTAATTAATCTCTGTTCACCATTGGCGAAGGTTACTAACATTTTCGCAGTATTGCCCTGTATTTGATGTTGAACTATAGTATTCGTTGGATTATCGATAACTTGTTGAAGATAAGCAATACTTTCCGATGAACTATTTTCTGAATCGGTTTGTGACGAAAAATGTTGTTGATTTGCTTGTTCCAAAACTGTTGAGGTTTCTGAAGATTCAACATCCATACTGTGCACATTTTGAGAAGGCGATAAAAGGGATGATTGTTGTTCATACTGAGATTTTTGTGTCAAGGTCGACTGTTTCTGAAGTTGTGATTGCGATGTAGCTGACGTTTGTTGTCTTTGTTGTGCTGCATTTGTAGTTGCTTGCTGTCGTTGTGTATTTAATGTACCCTGCACCGATTGCGACGTAGTATTTGAGAGTCGTTGCATATTATTTCCTTGCAATCTTTGATCATTTTGCATTTGCTTTAATCTCGTTTGCTCCATTTTAGACTGCTGCAGTTTTAAAGAATGTTTTTGCATTAATGCAGAAGTCTGAGGTCTAGCATGAACTGTACTTGAAGAATTATGAATTTGTATAGAAATGGGGGTCACATTTTGTCCAACAGTACTAGCTGCTTTATTACAGAATGCTCTGATACTTGACACATGAGCGTTTTGTATTTGAGTTCCTATATTAGTTGTTGCATTCACTCTATCAAGAGTAGATGAAGATCCAGTTTGTATACTGTTTGTTGAATGTCGATTTCTGTTTTGATTTGTCCTAAGTGGTTTTCTTTTGACAAACCCAGTATTCAGTGTTGATAACTCACAATGGCCATGTAGAAGAGCCTACGAAAACATATAATTGTTATTGAATCATACAAAATCACTTAGAAAGTACATAACAAGTGTATAATTACGTGGGAAGAAATATTATTTTGATTTTCATTTAAATTGGCAGTCTGAGTTTTTTCTGATACTAGCGCACTCTGTTTTGAAACTGCATTCAGAGTAACACTATTTTCCTGCATTTTTATCCATTGTATTTGTTGTCCATCATTATTACAACCTACTAAAGCCTTAGAACCTAAACAAAATAATACTTTTTTATGAATTAACTTTTAAAAGGCAAGATTCTATATTTAGCTATGTAACGAAATAATGACTTCTTTTTGTTAATGTACTGTCACTGTAATGAATTCCAATTTCAAGGAACTTACCTTTATTATCCACAATGTTTACAATATTCCCACTAACAGTATTTGTATTTACTGTTGTAGTCTTCAATACACCTTGAGGTGAAGTTAACTCATTCGTATTTGTTTTTATTATAAAAACATTTTGGCTGAAAGTAAAGCAGAATATTAAACTTATAAATTAATACTGCATTTTTGGCTATAGCACAAAACTTTTGTAACAGAAAAATGCAGGATAACTTTTAGATTTTGCATTAACCAGAAATTGACCATGTGGCTTAGTTTCCAACCACATATATAAATACATTTACATGCTATTAGATTTGAAGTAGTAATTAATGTAATATCCTCTTTTTCAAGAAATTTGTCTTGTAACAGTAACTTTAATATAAAACAGCAACTGCATTATATACATATACAATAAGTAGGTACACATAAGATACAATTGCCAAGTATTACTTTTATAAATGAAAATATCAAGGAAAAAAGGGTGCATTGGTACATATCTAAGTTAACTTTATAAAGTGTAACTCTTATTGTAAATACACTTAGTATATATTTTGTAGTATGCACTTTACAAAAATATACTTTCAATGTTAATACAGATATACTCCTTATACATTGTCCAAATATATTAGAAAAATAAATTACGTAAATAATTATATTCATTTCAGCACACTTGTTATACAATTTGTTGATAAGTATGTGTGAAAGGGCACAGATAATTGAAATAAAAGTTTAATAGTTCCTTGTTCAATTATAAGTTAAAATTAAAATAGAATGAAACAATAAGCGAAAGTAATAAACAAAACAATAATAAATAAAAGTAAATAGTTTGTTAGTGTTTATAATACTTTCTCCTCATAAATATTATATATTTCTCATGATTATAACTTGTTATAATACAATATGTATAATCTGATGAAACAATTGATGAATAATGGAAAAATGATTTATTTGTTTGTATTCATTTCACAGAATGAATACTATATTTTACACAATATTCCCACATTTCACATCTGCAGTGTACACCGTAATTTTTTCAGTTATCAAAATACAATAATCTTTAATCTTTAACGATCAAAATCTTTTAATGATTAAATCAAGAAGAAAGAGTAGTAGCAATACAAAATTTCTTTGAGGCACACATGTACAATATATTATAGTGATGCATTCAAAAACAAATATTCATAGCTTAAAACTTATGATGTAGCCTTTGCTCTTAAGACTTTTATCAACAGAAAAGTGTAATATTGATATACTTGCGATTTTCTTGCTGTTATACTTTCACACATGTGATTAGAAGACTAGCTTAAGAAGTGTTCAATGATAAGGTGTTACATTTTCATATATAATGTCCTAATGTTTATAGTTACGTGCAATTATTACATAATTTAAATGCTGATTAAACTGTATTTCATTCAAAACATATTTTTATATACATGAAATTATATGCTTGTTTACAAAATTGTAACTGTGATTAAATATTTAATGCTTAAGTGTAATGTAACTGTGGTCATATTATGTACTGAAGTATGTTTCCAAAATGTAAAACTAGATATAAAAAAAATATAAATCTGTAACATGCGTTTCACAATTCATATTTAATTTTAATAACCAGTGCCACGTACCAATATCCCCTTCATTTTCCTCGAATATTTAAGATTTTAATATTCCTAAACATATATTAATACATGTATGTACAAAATTGAAAACAAACAGATATCACACTACTACTTGAATATTTGGAATGTTGAAATACATGCGCTTGAAATTACCCTTGATCCAATTGCGTTGCAGAGATTTGATTCCCTAAATTAATTTGCTGCGACAATATTGCTTGCCCGCTGTTTTGTGGTGCAGTGGTATAAGTCAAAAATTGGTGAGCACCATTACCACCGTTATTTACATCTTCGACAACTAACTGAACACTTTGCCCCTCTAGAGAACAAATTCTCTGTACTTCTTCGAGCGTTAATGTACCACTGGCATTGGTCACAAAATTATAATATTGTGCCATATTATTTAAGACTTAACTGCTTGCAAATATGATCTTTTGTCGGTCAATGCAGATTAATGTTAAATTGATCAATATCACTACTATACAGTATTACACCAGTCCATCAATATCATATCTGTAGAACGACGAATTAGTATCTTCTCAATAAAACCTATTAAAAACAATTTAAAGTTACTCATGATTTCTATGTATATAATTTTAAATTTTACAATTTGGAAAGTACAATTTAGTAAGAAAAAAATAAATAGATGTAAACAAACCTTAAAAACTAAAGAAAAATAAGATAATACAAAAACAGTATTATTATTTATTGCTTTACAATTTTCTTGATTAGCTATATTTACTTTAAACAGAATCTTGGTAAGAATTTCCTAATAGAATGTCAATGCTAAAGAACAACGAATTAATAAAAATTACATAAAATACAAAACCAATTCATCATACAGATTAATTAAAGAACTATATCAATTAAATTTTAAATGTACATATTTGCAAAAAGTAATTTATCCTCAAATTCACCAACAATTATTTAACTTAAAATACTTTTTATTTCTATAGTTCATGGCATCAAATTTGTATATTAATCCTACAAATGATGTCTCACAAATTATAACAAATTCATAAGTTGTATCATAATTATTAATCAATAAATCCAAAAATAAATTTTAAAGTATTAAATAACATTACCCACAAGCGAAATGCACAAAAACTGTACAACATGTGCTTCATAGATCTAAAGTTGGTGAAAATCTTTTAAGAACAAATTAAAATATCACTTGTATCACAGGATAATTGATAATTGTAATCTTATTAACCACATTAAACTTATACTCGTAGTTTGTAACATGAAAATTTTTAAAGAAGAATATGTTCATAATAATAAATAGCAGCATTTTAATATGGGCAGACTGATATGAAATAAGCAATACAAAATATTATATATAAAAGTCTATAATCTTGATAACATAAAATTTTATATGTATTATTGTAAATAAGGTACGATTGTGTTTATGAGATACGTCCCAATATTAAATACGCAATACGTATTCTCACATAAAAAAGAATAAAAAATTATGCCCATATTTTGTATAGACTCATAAACAGTTAATAATTTCTATAAAATTATAGAATACATGAAAAACATATTAACTTATACAGATATGAAAACAGACATATGTGTGATGCAATGAATGTTTTCACTTATGAAATTCATCAAAGTTACACAACTTTATGAATGACTTCTTATTATTTTTATATTAAAATTTGTAATTTCTACAATTTATTACTAAACTAAAGATTTTATGCATTTATAGTCTATAAGGCTCTATCAAATATAATAGAGGACAAAACTTTCATCAGGTACTATGAAATTTTTTATTTATTCTGAACCCAATAAGATACTTAAGAGAAGAAAAGTATCCCTACCTACATTCTTGTCTGTATGAATTACTATAGAAAATCTGTGCATAAAAATCTGCAATTTATTTATTACTCTGTTGCATAAAATATTTAGACATGATATACAACTGTTTATAGTGTTTAAGTGTATAAATTTTTTAAGTAATTATGTTGCTTGTAAAAATGAAAATTCTATTTAAATTGTGTTACTGACATATGAAATTGTGCACACACATTCTATAATTAAATTTAGATTGAGTAATTTTCCCATAAGCAATTTTTAAATTTCTACATTATAATGTAATAACCGAATGATTACAGATAGTTTAGCTAAAACAAACAAAAAGATTCATTCTACAAAATAATCAAACACTATTAAACACTCATAAACAAAGTGTTTATGACTATTCATATTTAAATAATCAATAGTTTTATTTATCAGTATTTTATGTATTAATATTGCCCAAACAGTAAATTTATATGAAACATCTACTCTAAACAATAGTAATAAAAGTAAACAATGTGTCACAGCTGATGAGACAAGAGTTAAAGCTTCTGAAGATTTATTAGGATTTTCATTATAGCATGTGTTATAAACTTCATTACAGAATCATCCGTGATGAAACCAAATATACATAAATGTTTTTAGTCTCTCTCATAGTATTGTTGCCGATGAGGTATTTGGAAATGAATATGAAAATTTGGTACAGTAATATAAAAGTAGAAAATGTTCGAATTCCACGAAATCATAACCTAAAAATTGTAGAAAGAAATCGATCTTTAATTCTCGCAAGTCACAAAATATAATTACAAAATAAAAAAAATGAAAATGAATAAGTTAGAAATAAAAAAATCACCCAGAATTATGGAACATATTTACGATTCAACGTTGAAGCGTTTAATGTAAATGATGGCAAGACCGTTTGAGAATTTTATCATAACCTTGTTTCAAAATCGTAACACTAATAAGCGTAAGTTACAATAAGATACTATTAAAATAATTAGCATTTTACTGAGATGCGAAGCGGCTTTATTATCAATTCCATATGAAAAACATGCGGAATTACCGACTCGAATACGAACCGACGTCTAGCACACACATTACAAATTTTTTATTAAATTGACAACCATGATACTTACAGTCGTTCGTGTAAAGTGAAGTAAATATACCATTCCAAATACGGCAATAATAAATTCTTCTTGGATCGTACCAAAATTATTGCATTATACTCTGCGCAAGTAAATAACAATTCCAATTCGCCATTTTACGTTACCGTTTACGTGAAAGAATCGCAAAGCAACCGATAGACCGCAAAAGATTACGCCACTGCGTCACTGAAGTAGTTTCCGGCTCCGGTTTTCTAAGACGTTTACGGCGCGAAATTCGGTATACCACCCCGTAAAATTGATGTGAACGTCAATGCTTAATTTAGGTGCGTACATCATTAAAGATTTCTGATCTTTAACAATTTCCAAAGTTTTTGATGTTTTCAAAATGGAAATAATAGATATACTGAATTTATGAAATTTTCTTTATTAAATGAAAATAATTTGAATCTTACGAATAATTACTCCTTGGTAACGTGAAAATATAGATGTGTTAAACATTGCAATATTGTTAAAAATTTTTTTTTTTTTCGATTAAAATACAACACATATTTTATTAATACATAATCATGTACTTATGTAAATTAAATTTATGTAAATTATACAGTCTGTAACTTTCAAAAAGTTATTAGGTTCAATAAAAGAATAATATGAGGACTTTCTTGAATATTTAATTTATTCAAAAGGATGATTACAAATAAACTGAAAGTACATTATAATGTACTGTACATCGAATTTGGAAACTTGAGTCTCCTATTCAGTCATGTAATCAATGTCTTCTTTATATGTAGTAGATGTTTTGTATTCATTACTATTAATAACATTGTCACGAAATAAAGAAATTAACATCTGACCACTTCGTTGTAATGTATAAGAACTAAATGGAAAAAAGTTTTCCACTGTAGTTACTGTTGCCTTCTTACTATTAAAAATTGGAAGTTGACTTCGTGTATTATTCTCAATAATAGTGTAACAATATGCCAATTGATACGTTCGTGTAATTTCTGCAAAATTATGTACAATTTCAGGATAGCAGGCTTTTAACGGGTTCAATTTAGAAGTTATGATTTTTGCCAAATCCAATTCTTGTAAATATAACATATCTGAAAGTAAAGGACAATATTGTTATAATATATTTACGATGTTATAAAAATATATTACGTATAATTAAAATGAAATATACTTACATTTCTTTGAATCTGGGTAGTCATTATGCCTTTTAGCAATTATGAGAAATAATGCCTGACAAACTGAATAAAATACTGTATGAGCTTTGTTCTCGTCATTTACACAATTGGAGTAATCTTGCATATTAATATAATCGTGTATCCATTTAGACAGTTTAAGCTGAACTACTTTCACGGTTCTAATTAAAAAAACACATAAATATGTACACGCATATCATTTTATAGATTCCGTACTATAATACAGTAAATATTTACCCAGTTGTGACAAAATTTGCTGTAACTAGGAAACTAGCAATGTATGCCACAGACGACTGCCGTATAATAGAAGGTACGTTAGGATCTGAGACTTTGCGCCACAACCAATCTATAAAAGCCTCGGCTACAGCTGTTTTAAAACTACAAATATAGAATATAATATACTGCACATATTGACTTGCATGAGTGGGTAATATTACTGTTTCAAATATTTGTAATACGTCAAAGTAAAAACTTTTTAAAGATTCTATTTGCAAAACTCCTTCAACAAAACAGGAGTTATGCATGTATTTCAGAATCAGTTCCATACACACATCCAATTTATGAGCTATTGGATGTACTTTATCTGTTTCTGTTATATCATTGTCTTCGACAACATTATTCTCATTACCAAGTGTGCTGTCACATTCGCTACTGTCATCCATTAAGTCTTCATCCTCATTATTTGTCTCTAAACGTGGTATATTTACATCCAATACCATCAACCTACAATAAAAAACGTTAATTTTCGATTCCAAAATCTTGAAATTCCAGTTTGTAATGATTTATTACCTGTTAATAATTAGAGACAAAACCTCAGATCGTAACTGAGGAGCATACTCTAATATTTGGAGCAATGCATAAACATAAACTTCATGCATATGGGTTCCATGAATAATATATGGAAATCTTCCTTTAAATGACTGTAACAAGAGCTTACTTGACCTGTAAAAATATGATTGGATTTTTATTTTTTCATACTTTAAATTACATATAATTTCTAAAATATATAACTACAGGTTCTTACATTGGTACAATTTTCAAAATTTTGCCTAATACATCGTGTATGTGTTTTAATCTTTGCACATCTTCTTCTTTACATACTCCGACTTCCCATTCCGTTTCATCATTTTCATCTATATAAAACACAAACATATATAAAAAAAAGCACCTTCTACGATGTTGTTCTTGTATAAATACAAATTTCTCATATATACCTGGCTTAAACTGTTCAACTAAATTATCTATTACATTTTTAGCATAGTGAATTTGCGTACAAATTAAATCTTCTATAAATGATTTGTAAGCAGATGCAACTTCTAAAGAACGATTTGTCCATTTTATTTGTAAAAGTGTCTCTACAAATAATTTATGAACTGGACCAAGTAGTGATATACATTGCCTTACACTTGCTAAAAATTCTATTAGATCCACATCCTGCAATTGAATATAATAAAGATTCAGTTAATACCATTGAGTTAAACTACATTAAACTGATAAAACTATTGTAATATAGATTGTATCGAGGATAATATGTACCTTTATATTAGAGTCTCGTAAAATACATATTAAATCTTCATAATCTTTAATTCCATTGCCACTTTCAAAATTATAAATAATATTTTTCAAATTTTTTGGAAGTTTAAAATATACTCTATTAGGCTGCCTAATTAACTGAGATCTGACTCCGGGAGCCTTTAAAATCGATGAAACGCTACTAACTCTTGATGATACAACTGACATCTGTTTAAAAAATATGTATGTAGTATGAAACAGAAATTTTATAAAACACGACAGTTACACGTTTATTTCAATAAAATATATCCAATAAACTTGTATTAACATTAAAATACAGAAGAAGAACCGAATAACATTTATCTACATCCTTAAAACTGTCACACATGTACGCAATAATATAAGGAGGTTATGATCGCAAGTAAAAAAAAATATTTAACATTACTTACCTTTAGACTTATATCTATTACCTACTAATATATTTGTTCTTTTTTTGACAGTTCTGAATCAGGTATTTGTGTACATTTTGAAACTGTATTACTTCATAAGTATCCTGGTTAACAATATTAACACACGTGTTCGATAGCACCATGTGGCACCATGCGGTTAAAGAAACTTCTGAAGCCGAGTATTGCCGAGTATCTGTATTATCGACTCGTACGGTCGTACCACAGACGAGATATAAAAATAGACCTAACATTCAATGTAATTTTCTGTCCTATGCTTCGGGGTGCTTCGGGGGCGTTAGAAGCCACCGTACCATTTAAGTATTCCATTCCTTGCTAGCGAAACCGGGGCAATAATGTATGTATGTATTGCTATATGCAGTCACGAGTGTGTGTGCTGTGCGTTATCACCACCTTATCACGGTGTCGAACATAGTTCCTGAAGTCAGAAACAGTTTCTGAGAAACTTTTATGTGGAGTGCGCTCGAATCAGTGTGATTTCGTGGGACACCAAGTCCATCAAGTTCAAGGCAGGGTAATGGTTTCCTACCACTTGGTAAATTTATTCTAGGTACTGAAATAAATATTAAATCGAATATTAATTTGGCATAAATTTCAGTAATTCCCAAAACCAAGAGGTAGGAGCAGGTAGGAGCAGGTAGGAGCATGTGCGAGCATGGTAGGATGCCCTTTCCCCATCCTTTCCCAACACTACTTTTTTCCCTAGCGGAAGCCGAGTTTGCTCGCGAGGGTACTGTTGCGGTCCCCGCTCATGTCACGTAGCGGTGTATGTCATAAGCTTCACAGGCGCGAAGTTTGAATCGAATAACACATGTAATAGGAAAGGAGGGTAAAGGTGAAGTTGACACTGATTTGAAGAAGTGTGAAATCTGTTAGAGATCCTTTTAATAAATGCATTTCAAGATCATAAAATAATCAATATTCACTTAGAAACGGATGTTTAAACATTTGCCAGTTGCCTTCGCCTCCTATCCTAACGCTCAGAATCATTGCAAATATGTAAATCGCTCGTTATCAATAACCGGGAAGAAACGCATCAACGAATCCGGTTAAATCTTAGAAATTAATAATTATAAGATTGGTCAGTAGTAACTAAGGACATTTTGTAATTAAACAAAATGATATACGAAGGGAAATGAAAAGACATTCCATTCCACCGACAACGTTGTAATAGAAAGGACGTATAAAAATTACTTTATCAATTAAATTTGTTTTCCTTTAAAATTAGTTAAAAATCGTTTATTTAAATAGTTTAAATATAGTTTTCAAAGTTTTAATTTAAATCTTTATTGTTCTTTATTATTATCGTTATAATTTCCTTTTTATTCAAAATTATCTATAAAACTAACGTGTTTCAAATTTTAATTACTTTGAGACTCAGGATTCCCTGAGGGCCCACGCAACAGTACAAACCAGTCGAGTAAAAGTATCGATACCTTGGCGATATTGATTCAACCCTATACTACATATTCATTAAGACACGAAACTCCGTTATAGAGATGAGTAGTCTATCGTTGAGACCCTATAATAATTATAGTGTCTCTAAGTTCAACTATAGAAATTCGATTTAAACTTACAACTAGAGTAGTCTCTATTTTATCAATATAATTAAACATTGTATTGTACCTAAATATATACGCAGGAAAAATGATATCTTTTCGATAGTTTGATATTACTAGATATTACTATAACTTAGATACTTCTAACTATTCCAAGAATGACCATGTTGTTCATTCTTCTAAGCGAACTATAATTAAACAAATCCATGATCTGAATACAATCTAAAGTGTGAACAGTGTGAACTGCATATTTAATGGGAAAGTACGATTCACTAACAGTACCGGTTATTTGTGATATTATTTGGTATTGAATTTTTTTTGTTTCCACTGCATAGGACTTTTTTCTGTCTTTCAAAAGTGTGGCTACAGTTTCCTCAGAAATGAAAATATTGTAAGCTCGTGCATGACAGATGTAATGAATGCTGTGTGTGGGCGTACAATACATCATAAAGTTTCATTAATATATTTATTAAGTGTAAACGAAACAATATCATCATTTTTAAAAGTTTTACCTCTAAAATTGTATCCATTACTAAGTGTATTTTATTATATTCGTGTAGAATAAATTATGCCAAACAAATATAAACTATTGTAAATAACGGACATGCAATAATTTTTATACCGGTAGTGCTAAAAGTTGATACAGTTTTATAATTATGGGTAAGTTTAAAATATTTCTATGCTTATTGTGGACTATTTTAAGTTTCACGTGTTTTAGAGGATTCGATGCAAGCACAAAAATGGCAACAGCATTTATCTTTACTGCGAGAACAGTATGTTAATTTGTATAATTCAAACTCAGAACTTCAACGTAAATATGCTATTGCGACTGCTGATAAGCAAGAATCTGGATTTATTGGAAGACTTTTAACAACCATAGCATCTTTGTATGGTCAACATCGCTACAGGTATATAAAGTTTATAATCATAATCATATGAGTACATAATATAATAAATCACATACTCTTATTTTACAGCGATATAGCTATTAAGCTAAGGGATAAAGAAATACCAGCACATAAATTTATATTGTCTGTTAGAACAGATTTCTTCAGTGATTCAGTACTTGCTGAAGTAACTACTTTAGGTAAAATATTACAGGTTTAGTTGAAATACAGTAGAACTACATTTATCTGAGCATATGTTTAAATGAACTTGTAGGTTAATATTTATTACTGAACTTAGTAAGTTTTATGTGTAAACTTGTGTTGTACGAATATATCAGTTATCTATACTAACTTATCCTTCGACAGGTTTGGATAAATGGAGCTCTACTGTATGTGAAAAATAAGTATACATACATAAGTAAGCATTGAGGTACATATTTGTAGATTGGACTAATTTGGACCCAAATATTGGATTAGTGCTCTTAAAATGGATATATACTGGAAAAGTATCTCAAGAGAATTTAACATTGGATCTAATGAAAGCAGCATCTAATTTTCAATTAGTCGAATTAGTTGAGCAATGTGAAAAATATTTGATCGGAATTGTAGGACTGAAAGATTGTGTACAATTGTATGCAGCTGCTGAAGACTTGGGTGCTCAGAAACTAAAAGAACATTGTAGTTCTTTAATTTCAGCACACTGGGTAAAATAAACATTTTTAACTCCTTCCAAGCACTAATTGTAACATGATTTTATTTAAAATTTCATACATTTAGGAAGATTTAACTGGGGAAGATTTTAAAGAAATGCCTGGTTCCTTATTGTACAAGTTATTGCAAACAAAAAGTAAATATCCGTTACATGCTGCAGTTAGATTATTGAGGGAGGATGTCGTTTTCTTATATTTAGTGGAGAATAATTCGGGGGTAAGTTACTACTTTTAAATTTATATATGAATTTTTTGTATTTATGTACAGTATACGTTATTTTATTATTTATACACTAAAACATAGTAAAACAGACATAAAAATCATCACAGCCTGCTTTAAGTACATTTTATTCTTCTCTTGCAAACATTAATGCTCAAAATATTCTGTAATATCGTTTAAATCACTGTGTAAATATTCTCTATTTTACAAGAGTATAATTTCAGGTTATTTATTTGAATGTTGATATATCACATGCTCATTATGTTTATAAGTTATGACAAACTAAATTAGTTAACACTTGAAAGAATGTTAATATTCTTATATTAATAAGTACTTAAAATTAAAATATTATGTTGATTTTGCAACTAATAATATTACTAGTAATACAAAAATATACATATTCATTTTTCCAATTGATTCGGATGAATTGCACAAATGGTAACTACAGAAACAATATTGTGGTGGACCTGCTGGTGCTCCTCTGTCTTCGCCAGTAAAACATCCCTCTTCATATGCTGTTTTCACAATTTCTTCTTTATTTTCCCACTTATAATCTACATAACTATAAATGGGAACCGTACGTTTTTGAGGTGCACAGTCCCTTTCCACAGCCGTGATTATCGACGCTGTTTGTGATGCATTAATGATAATTCAGCAATATGTTTCATAACATATAATTAAACATAAAATTTACTTACTTGTACTTTTGAATTTGGGATAAATAGTTTTCTTTCTGCAAAGAGTAGATGAGGGACAATAAACTTGAAATCGAGCACTTCCATCAAATTGTGAGCACAATAAATCAGTTTCTTCATGACTTGGTTGTGATGCGTAGCATTTAAAGCAAGAAATTCCATCTGCATTTACTGATATTATTACATCTAAAAGTATTAAATATCTTTATAGCTCAGGAACAACATTCAACAATCTATGAATAAACTTAGTGTTGAATGTTACAATAAATGTAAAGTAAATAAAACTAAAATATCTCGTATGAGTACATACACAAAGAAATTATTATAACTGATAAAATTTTTGTTGAATTTATCTGAAAAGTCATGGTATTTGCAATTAATTTAAATGTACTATAGAAAAATATATTTCTAAAATGTTATTTATGCCTGTTATTGACAATTTTTGTGTACATTTATTTAATCTTTTGTTCAATTACTGCTTTAAAGTCCAATTCATCATCGTTATACAAACCTGAAACAATTTAATTAAAAACAAATTACATATAAACACAGAAGTACATGTTATAACAAGCATTAATACATTAACATAATATTATTGTGATATAAGGAAAAGAATTTATAGTCATTAATTTATTAAACAAATAATTAAAAACGACTTACAAATTTAATTTAATTCATTATTGCACGGCAAATAATTGTTTAAAACATCAATTCTGCATCTAACTTTCGCGTCCAATTATTGAATAGAACATGTTTAATTCGACACTGACACTCGTTCCCAATAGCACTTAATTAATGTTCACTGGACGTCACATTGCAACGTTAAGATTCCGATTAATCTGTTGCTGTTTTGCAACAAATCGTATTCTTTCTATCGGAAATTGACTGCGGTTAGACGACTGTGTCATATGCCACGTCATGTCCTCTCTATCCTCTATAGACCACTATTTCTGATTATATCGGAACGTAATCATATTTCTTTTCCGTTTACTTTTTTTTTACACCGTTGTTTGTGTATCCTTAACACTAAAATTGTATAGGTTCCGCTACTCATGTGCATGAATACATACTTCCGCTGGGCGTATGCGCAGTACATCCTACGCGTAGAACAGTGGTTCTCAATCTGCTTGGTGTATTTATGACAATTTGAAAGTATGAATAATAAAAAGGATTACTAAATACTTTTATATTTTTCTTTTTAGTTACCAAAGGCCGTAAATGCCCTCGACAATAAGGGGGAATTGCCCTTGGAAGTCGCTTTAAAAACACGTCAGCCTTCGTTAGCTCGAACTTTAGTTGGGCATGGTGCTGATTTAAGCGCGAAAGATTCAAGAGGCTTTTCTTTGCTTCAAGCTGCTATCTTTAAAGGAGATTCCTATTCAGCGGAATTTATAATAGAACAATTGGAAAATAGTGGTAATGCACAAGAGTTATCCGAGCCTGTCAAGATTACAGGAAGCACACGAGATATTAAGAATCCTGAAGAATTCGAAGGATGCACTGCTTTGCATTTGATGACGAAACATATCTCAGAAAGTATGATCGCTGTTGGATCTCGATTACTCCAAGCTGGCATTGATACTAACTTGCAAAACAAGAAAGGATGGTATAGTTCTTTTTAATCAATTTCATAAATAAAAATTTTATCATTAAATATTCCGATTATTACTACTGTTTACATCCACAGGACTGCCTTACATAGCTGCATTTGGGAAAGGAATGAACCGCTTTTTGATATTTTGTTAGAATGTGACAGTATAAACATAGATAAAACTACAAATGACAATGACACTCCATTATGTATTGTAATGAAAGCAGATCCATTCTGTGAGTCCTTTGCCAAAAAACTTTTAGCTAAAGGTGCATCGCCCAATCCTCTGTACAAAGACACTGAAGACACTTTGCTACACGTTTTGACTAGGGAAAGTAAAGAAGAAGCAGCACTGTTTTTAATTGATTATTGTGAAGATACCTTAAGGACAAAAAATAACGAGGGATATTCAGTTTTACATGAAGCTTGTAAAGTTGGTTTAAAAAATTTAACCAGATCTTTATTAAAGTATGGCTTTCCATTGGATGAAGTAACATTGTCTACTGGTGATGCACCAATACATTTTGCTGTTTCAAATTTGTATATCGATATTGTAGTAGAACTGTTAAGTGCCCCTAATTCAAATTCTCAGTTAAATCTGAAAAATAATGCAAGTGAAACACCATTGAGCTTGGCTATAAAAGTTCCACTCAAGAAAGGCAGAGATATCGTTTTGGCTTTGATAAAGGCTGGAGCGGACATCAATCAGCGCAACGAAGAAGGTTTGACATTATTGCATCAAGTAATATTAAAAGAAGATTCAGCAATGGCTATCTTTTTATTAGAAAATGGTACAGACATGAATGCTAGGTAAATTCAATAGTCCGACACTTATATTTTTGAACTATTTATTCAACTATATAATATAATTTTAACTTACTTAGGACTGCAAATGGGGAAACACCATTGCAACTCTCTGTACATTGTAGACTGGGCGAAGTGGTAGAAGCTCTTTGTAAAAGAGGTGTAGATACTTCTATAGAGTGTCCATTATGGGATGCATTAGATTCAGATCAAGAGGATATAGCATCTATCCTAGTTAAATATGGAGCTGATACCGACTGCTGGAGTCCTGGTCCAGATGGTTGTCAACAAACATTACTACATAGAGCAATTGATGACAACAAAGAAGATATTGCACAATTCCTTATAAGAAGGTAAATGCATGGAGTATGTATTGAAAACTAAACTATATGTCGAAAATGATATTCTTTTTAGTGGATGTGATTTAAATGCTCCAATAAAACCTGGACCAGATGGTTCAGGCAGTGATGAGGCTAGAGACGAGTGTACTCCATTACATGTCTGTTGTCAATGGGGTTTAGAACAAGTGGTTCAGACCCTTATCGAACATGGTGCAGATGTGAATGCTCGAGATGCAGAAGGCAAAACTCCAATTCATGTTGCTGTACAAAATCAGCATTCACAAATTATTTCGCTCCTACTTTGTCATCCAAATATAGATTTGAATAAAAGAGATAAAAAAGGTTTAACACCGTTTGCAACTGCTTTAACATTCAGAAATAATAAGGCTGCACAAGCAATATTGGAACGACTGCCTAAAGCTGCCGAACAACATGACAATAAAGGTAGAAATTTTTTACACACTGCTATTCAGAAAAACGACATGGAAAGCATACTGTTCCTACTATCTATACAGGTGAACACAATTTGTAAACATTAGTATATCATGTATATATAAAAAGTATTTTTGTATAACTGATGAACGATCGGCATTTTGTAGGTAGACGTGAATTCTAGAGTTCATGATGTGACTCAAACTCCACCTTTACATCTCGCTGCAATTTCCGGAAATGAGATGTTGGTACGAAGTTTGATTTTGGCTGGTGCACGTGTTAATGATACTGATGCAAACAGAAACACTGCATTACATGCTGCAGCGAAAGCAGGTCACGCCGCAGTCATCTCTGCTTTATTACAGGTACTGTGATTTATACAGAGTATCGATAATCCCTACACATTTTTGTGAAGCGTCTAAAAATTATGTAAAATTCAGTTATAAACTGATAAAATGACATTTATTGCACAATTAAAAATAACGTTACTGACTAATTAAAGTGCGACATGATGCCTATCAGTATTCTGCATAGTTCAGATCTGTTTATATTATTTGCAAGTACATCGTACGAATATATTAACAAAGAAATGTAAACAAATTAAATCTGATAACTTAGTCTGCCAAGATTTGTTCTTTCCGCATCCGTTTCAGCGATGAGGAAAACTACATTGGTCTCGGGTTCGAACGATTCAAACTTTGCTACAGTCCTAAAAGTTTTAAGAATTTCTACAACAAATACTAACATATCGATTAATTCATAAAAATACATAAAGAATATATGGACATCTCATAATTTTAAACACAAATTCGTATATAACGAGAGCCATTATATTTTTGCAGAACAGCATTAATTTTGATGCAGTAAACGCAGATGGAGATAATGCCCTGCATGTAGCTGTAAGGGAAGGACATGTATCAGTAGTGAGAACACTTTTGACTGAATGTACATTAGACGCGGAAGCAGTAAATCTTAAGGGTAGAAATCCCTTACACGAATTAGCTCGATGTGGCAAGGATAATGCTGCTACTATATGTGAATTTTTTTTGGAGTGTATGTCACAATACCCCATAAATAAAACAGGTAAAAATATTTAAAAGTATATATCTTTTACATACTAATTAATTTATGGCAAATTAAGTCACATTCAACATTCTGTTTAAGATTTAGAAGGTAATACACCATTACTAATTGCCTACATGAAAGGTAATGGTCAGCTTTGTCGTACATTGGTAAAGGCTGGTGCATGTTTAGGTACTATGAACAAAGAAGGCATTACGATTTTTAACTATCAAGTAGCAACGAAACAATTACTATTTAGACTGTTAGATTCCTTAACGCAAGAAGCACCATGGGCTGATAAAGATCTGTGCTTAGAGTGTGGTACAAAATTTTCTATCACAATGCGAAAACATCACTGGTATACAATCATTGAAATTATTATGCAAAAATTTATGAATACACATAGTAATCATGTGAAATTAAGTTTTTAATTTCTTCTTTTTTAGCCGCCACTGTGGCCGAGTTTTATGCAACAAATGTTCTGGTCAAGATGTTCCAATTGTAAAATTTGGATTGAATAAACCAGTGCGTGTTTGTGTAGTATGTTTTGATGTATTACAAGTAGGTGCTGAATGAAAACCGACTTAAATAATAAAAGCATTCATATGTAAATAAAATAAACATCATTCCATAAGTATTTCTCATAAAAAATATATTAAAAGTCTGCATGAGCTATGTCAGTGGCTGTATACATATATATATATATGTATACATATATGTATATTTTACTGTATTGTATAATTATTCTTGTTGAACATTTGTTAAATTTATAGTTATGAAATTTTAAATACAGATGAAGGAATATCATTAAGGCTTAATGCTCATTATTAAGTTATTATTTATTCCTAGCAATAATTATATATCTACAATGCACCAAATTCATCGATAATATGCTTTCAACAATCATCATACAATTGTGGATAAAGTATGATGTTACTTAAGCTTACTGAAGAGTACGTTTGCTACACAATGGTCTACACATTCAACGTAATCAATTAATTCTTCCATGCATGTTTCTTCTGTCTGAGTTCTTGAATTGACACGGTCGTTACATGTATTAAGTTTCTTTTGCATATTAGCACACTTTTCTTTTTTTGCACACTTTGCCTGTGAAAAAAATAATTATATACTTTAAGTGTTATTTAATTGGTATCACCTAATTCGTTCATTTACTAATATATATTGAGACGAATGACAGTAATAGTAGCATAGTCAATATATATTTTATAAGTCTAGATATCTGCACTTAAGGAAAAAGGACATAATTGATATTAACAACGAAAAGTGATTGTGTGATTTAAAATATTTAAAAATAATTTTAGATTATCATAATAAGAATATTATATAACTTACACGAAATATTTTTTGAGGGTCAACTAATTCTTCGTCGTCTTGTGCTTTCACGGTTGGAATGGAACGTTTCATGAAATTGACCAGGAAAGACATATTTTTGAAGGTATAATTTTATTTCCTTCCACACGAGTATTCCAAGTTAACTACAGTTAACTGAGAACCTGAGAATATACAACGATTTGTCCAGAGTTGTCCGCTGTTGTCCGCGCAATACACGCAGTACTTCAGAAACGAACAGATTGCAAAAGGTTTGTTGGAATTGCCTTTCTCATACGTGTACCATACTTTATGGCAGTTGTTCACTTCACTCCGGGTTAAGGTACCATTTGTATGAAAAGGGTGATTGTCATTGTAATTTGATAAATAAATATAAAAATATGTGTAAAAACGTTAACACTATATTCATGTTACTAAATACTGAATTACTTAAATTGTTATAACTATAGACGAGAAAGTTCGCAATATTCTTATAAATAATTGCCAAAATAACTTTATAAACAAATAAAAACACAATAATATTTCAGAATTAAATAATATTCCAAATGTACCATTGACATTAAATTCAAATTAAAGTAGTGAATGCTGTATGTATGAATAACAAAGTGGGTAGAAATTATCATCATGACTTTGATTGGTTGATTCTTATAAAGCCGCCGAATCATATTTTCATCTTTATAAGAATCAACCAATCAAAGTCATGTATGATAATGGCTGCGTTCAGGAGACACAACCGTTGCGCAACCGTTGAGTGATTTTACTAGATTTGACTCTGAACGCTACACCCTATTGGGTGAGCAGTTGCAAATCTAGTGAAATCACTCAACGTTTGTGTCTTCTGAACGCAGTCAATATCTACTCATTTCTGGTGAATAACGATACTTCTTATATACGGTACATCAAAAGTAAATTTTTGTGGATTAATTTACAAAAAATATGATCATAGAAAATTTTGTCATTTTACCAATGGTTCAAATCAGTTCCAAATAATATAAAAATATTAAAGTTTATTAATTATTTTACTATGCTAAATTTTAAACAATCGTTTGTGATACAATAAATGCATAAACTTTGCAGACTACTCATGACAATATTCAATTATTTAATAAAGTTTATGTAATTCTTTTCATTGCAATCATTAGAAGATTTATTTTAATATTATTGTAGTGACTTTATATTTTTAATTGATACTGTACCTGTAGGTACATTAATGCGCGCATTTTCTTTAAAGACAGAAAGGTGATTTGTTAATAGGTTGCCTGACATTTCTGTTAGATCGCGTTCAGCCAATACGTGGATTAAATGCTATTCATTGTATGGAAAGTTGATTTTCAACAATTATTTTGCAATACTGCCGTTAAACTTTAATTACCTTTGCAGATTATTGGTAAATATACGAAATGCCAGCAGTAATAAAAACTTTCAATTATTCTTTTGATGTTAGTAAGATTCGTGAATCAAGAGGAATTAAGAGACGAAAAAAATGTACACTTTACTCAGTCACCAATTTGGACTTTCATTTGGTGTATTTTAGCGTAACAACATTTTGAAATGATATGAATATTCTTTGACGGATAAGAAAAGTCTCTGCTTCTACCAAAATCTGCGTACGATTTATTTAATAAAACAGTCAAAAGTACCGTCATGGCTTTATAACAAGGATGGCGTCATCCGAATGTGTTTGCGTAGTTTTATTGAAGCTATGAATTTGTTAAAGTTCACTGAAGGCATTTTACGTACCAAGTTAAAGTAAAATATGTTTCACTGAATTAGTTCATTGGCATACTATTGTTTCTACTACCAACAAATACTCGATAAAACTTAGAAAAATCAGGGCGCAGTGCGTTGTGCTAGCAGTCAAACATTGAGGTGGTTTTGCGCTGGTGTGTCGGAGAACTAGTAGCAATAAACCTCTATATTTTTCACGAGGAACGGTCAACGAAGAATAAAAAGGAATCAAGTTACGAAGCTGATATCCAAGTGACGTTCACATAGTAAATACGTTATTATAAGAATAAATTGTGAAATTACAGGATTTTGAAAAAACCGGAACGAATTTGTATAAAACTGAAAAGGCTGTGTGTTTGCATAAGAAAAACTTCCCATTTATTGGGGTTTATACAAGGGAATAAGTATAAAGAGCGTGCTACAAAGAATTCTTTTTAAGAAATGGTTACAATATCGTTGCTTTATACGAAAGTCCAACCTAAAACCTATGAAATGTTTAAGGTTATGTTTTACTAAAACATGAATTTCTAGTATTAATAAAGCGAATCAACAAAAACAAACTGGACGTAAGTTAATAATGGAAAAGATTTTTTTTGTTCATATATCACATTTCTTTCTGATAAAAAATATTGTTTCGATTATTGTATTTTGTGTATTTCCTTTTTGAAAATATGCTTTTATACATTGTTTAATTTTCTCTTACTAATTCGTTCATTTGTAACATTTATTCTTAAACTATTTTGCATTCTTACAATTTTATGCATTTGCACTATTTCATAGAATTTGAAGTTATAATTAATGATATCAACTTATTTGTATTAATACATTGATTTCATATTAATTTTTGTGTATGTATTATATGTTTATGTAATATGTTTTAATGTAGGTAATCCTAAGTATTTTCAAACACTTCAACTAATTTTGTATCTATGTCTAATCATCTAATTTTATTTATTATTGTTACAGCAGTTTACATGAATGGATGATGCTTGGAGGCAATGAACGGAATGGAGAGACATGGGCATGGACATGGACATTCACATGCACACTTGCATCGTCATCGTCATTCGCATGGAAATTCACAAAGTGCATCACAAAACACGAATCAATCATCAAAACATAGCCACACCCATGTAACACATTCACAGAAGGATGCATCTATTGTACAAACACCTCAGAAACCAAGAAATTATAAATTACTAGTTGATCCATTTTTAGTGAAAGGTGCATCAAAATTATATAGATACGATGGTATGGTTCCAGGAGATCCAACTTATCCTGAAGTTCAGCCACGAGATCCAAGATCACAGTTAACAAGAATATGGACTCGTTTAGAGCAACTTGATTTGCCTGTACCTAGATTTAAAATTGACTCTAATTACTGTGGTGAACCACCTCCGCTTGAAGTAACATTTTGCCATTTGAACGACAATATTGATAAGACTTTTTTAACAGACATGGTTCAGAAATTTGGAGTTGTAGAAGAACTCACTGTTTACTATCATCCAGTAACTAATAAGCATCTTGGAATCGCGAGAGTAGTATTCGAAAGTACGAAAGCTTCAAAAGCATGTGTAGAAAAATTAAATAACACATCTGTGATGGGCAAAGTTTTAAGAGTGTTTCTGGATGCATTTGGAGAAGAGTGTAAAAAGATCTACGATGAATTAACTGTTGAGAAAAAAGCAGAAAAGAAAGTAGAAAAAGAAGTTAAAATTGAAAATGATCAAGGAAAACAAACACCTATTGATAAAATTACTGAAGATAGAGATGATTTCAGAAGTAATAAAAAAATCGCGTCAAGTATAGAGAAATCCAGAGATACATATGTAGAAAACTCAAGATACAGCAAGTATAGAGATTATCCTACTCCTAGTGGTAGTACTGGAAGCGATTTAGGCTACGGTACTGCACCTAGTGAATTAAATTATTCTAGTAATTACTCTCAGAATTCTACTCCAGCCACAAATTATGATTTATTTCCACCAAATTATTATGGTGGTTACCATCATCAACCCCCGAATAATTATTTAGCAAATATGCCTCAGAATGTATCACAAAATCTTTCAATGCAACAAAATTCAAGTATGTGGTGGGGAAATAACACAGGACCAGCTGGTTATGCGTCATCGTCTATGTGGCCTGTACAACATGGAACAAATTTAGATAATTCTAATTCTAATGCAGTTCCAATTACAAAGGTTTCTAATGTAAAAATGCATCATACTACTCCGAAAAAGGAAAAAGAAAAAGAAAATCAGAGTGGCACAAAAAACTATTCGAGAGACTCACCAGTAGAAACTCGTAAAACATTAGACTTAGATACAAGAATTGCCATGCTATTAAAGGATAAAGCAGGAGGAATGGCACCACCCTTCTTACAATTTGGTAGCGATTCTGAAGATGAAAAGAAGTCTGTTGCTGCAGACAATGAAATGCTTTCAGAACCACCAAGTCCTTTTTTGTCACATGAAACATATAAATCATGCTTTGAAAAAATGAGAGAAAGGAGTAAGGAAAGGTGGAAGATACATGAAAATAACATCAATCAGTTTTCTGTTGATGAAGAATTAGGTAGTGTTATAAGTTCGAGTGAAGATGAGGCGTTACTGGGAAGTTACAGTCCTGCACCAGATGAAATTGAGCCAGAACCACCAAAAGAACCACCACCTCCACCACCTCCTGATGATGATAGGATGTCATTAAGTCCATTAAGTTCAGGAGATGAAAAAATTGAAGAGGTGATTATAGTAGTAAATAATATAATAAACATTCAGATTCAGTATAGTAAAATTCATAATTAAAATGACACAGGTGATAGCTCAAACGGAACCTACGAGTCAGTTATACCCAGGAGCTGGTTATCCTGGACATTTAGCCCATTATCCCACCAGTGATATGTATAATTGGCCACGACCAGCACAATATCCATATCCTTATGGAACAACATACTTACAAAGTCATTATCAACCTAATACGACATCATTTTCTGGAGCAGTAGGAAATCATCAAGGAGCAAATTATTATTCATCTTTTCAGTCGCGGCTTAATGCCATGGCAAATCACAACATTACAAAAGATAATCCACAGGTACATGTGTTTTAACCATTTACATGTTATACATACATTGTACACCGACGAGTAAACTCGGTTTCCTCTAGGGGAAAAAGTGGCGTAGAAGAAAAGTTGCCTACTATTCGGTAAATTTATTTCAAGTACTGAAATAAATGTTAAACCTAATGTTAATTTTGCATAAATTTCAGTAACCTCGTTCGCCTACCCTCACTTTTTCCCCTAGCGGAAGTCGAGTTTGCTCGTCAGGGTACATATATTTATATATATATGTATATATATAATGTTTAATTATTAAAACTCCAGGGCCCTACTATTAACGGAGTCTTGAACAGAGTTGTAAATGAGTTGAAACAAATTTTAAAAAAAGACTTCAACAAGAAAATGATTGAGAACACTGCATTCAAATTGTTTGAAGTATGGTGGGATGAAAAAAAGTCGGAGAAAAGTCAAATTCAAGAAGGAGATAATACTATTGTTAATAACAGTAATAAAGAAGAGGGCTCAAAACCTCAAGGAATATCATTGCTTTTAGAACAAGCAACACCGCTTGGATTTAATTACGATGGATTTGGTTTGGGAATTAGAGCTAGTATGCCAAAGATGCCGTCTTTCAGGGTATGACATATGTGTTTCTATTCTGTATTTATACGTTTACTAATATTTATAATAATACTGTTCCTATATTATAGCGCAAAATTAAAGCTCCAAGCCCATTACCACAAGATGAAGATAGTCGTCAGTCGGACCATGGTGATACTGAAATCATAGAAAGCGATAGCGATATTGACTTAACATCTGTACAGAAAGTGAAAAGGCCAATTACTTCTCTTCCAAGTGTTTCGTCATCGTCTTCATCTTCATCCTCGGCGAGCGAAAGCAGTAGCGACGAAATGAGTTGCAGCGAATCTTCAAGCAGTTCAAATGATAGTTCCGATGACGAAGTACGTTCTGGAAACTTTGAATATGAGGTATACGTTAGGTCTATTAAAGAAAGAATTGATTCCAGGCCTCTAGCTTTACTAATACACTGTCCGCAACACTGTCTCTCATGTAATGTTATATAAAATTAATTTATTATTTTTAGCAAGACACAGATAGTCGTATATCAGATAATCGTCCTTTAGCCTCGAATAGTGAAGATCCTGATATTCTAACAGAACTTGCAATTCAAAGATCTCTAGACTGTCCAACCCCAACTGGCCGAGAAACGCCAATACCGAACATTAAAATAAAGGATGTAAATTCAAACGAATTCCCACAATACGAAAATGAAGCTAGTCCTGATACATCTCCCTTAAGGTATGAAAATCAAAAGGAAGAAATGGGAACGACAAACGAAAAGTCTGTCGACGAAGAACACTTGGAGAAGCCTAGGGTAGTGGTTAAAGGCGCGGGATTGACAAGTACAGAGATTGAGGCACAAAAAGTAGCGAAGAGTACCCATACTGTAATACCAGTACCAGCGAAACAAGAGCCTCGTGATATGCAGAAAATGGAGAATTCTGCAGCTGAAGCTTTAATAACATTAGCTGGACAAGATAATATTATAAGACATAGAAGTCCAGGACCTTTACAACCAAATATTATTAGAGCCCTTCAAACTATGTCTGCTAAATACATTAATGATGAACCCATATTGAAGGAATCAGAAAAAATTGAAATGTTCAGTGAGATTCCAACTACAGATTCGGAGGAAGAAAGCTTAGAAATCAGGAGATTAAGGTTCGTAAAATATATTATCGTTTTAGTTCTTATTGTCTTAAAAGTATTAAAGTAAGAAATTTATATTATTTTACTTTAATTAGGTATCAAGCCGAAGCTGATCTTCGATTAAATGGTCAAAGAAGTCCAAGTTCGCCTGGTTCTCAAGCTTCGCAAGTATACATGGAACACTCTTATTCGTTGCCACCATCACAGACAGAAGTTATAGAATTTGTAGCTCGTCCACCTCCAGCACCAATAAAACCTGCAAAAATAAAGACCTCAAAAATTATGAAATTGGCTAAGGGCAAAGATAAGACGCATAAAGTGGAAAAACGAAAATACAAATACACAAAGATACATAGTGAACAGAACCATGAAGGGGAGAAAGAAAATATTCAAAATGAATTTGTTTATGAAAAGTATCCCAACAAAGTTATTCAAGAACCAACACTGACATACAAGGAACGCGATCTTATGTCGGAAATGGCTATTTTGTATGAATTTTTAACTAGAGGTATAGATGCAGAGGATGTCGAATATTTAAGACGAAGTTACGAAGCTTTATTAGCAGATGACAGTCAAGGATACTGGTTGAATGATACACATTGGGTGGATCATCCAGCAACAGATATTCCAAGTCCTGCGAAACGAAGAAAAAGAGATGAACTCAGATTACATGTAAGCGGAAGTGCAAGAACAGAAGGATATTACAAAGTTGACATACGAGAAAAAGCCAAACACAAGGTATATCATTTTTGTATAGCAAAATTGTACATCATTATTGGAAGCATAACATTTTCAGTTACAAAATTATTTAATTCTTTTAGCATCACTATGCGCAAAGTATACAACGCAGTCATGACGTTGAAGATAGTAATGGTTCTTATGCCGGAGGTGATGGAACAATGAATGGTCCAAAGAACAATACTAAAGCTTTAACTGGTAAAATGCAAGCTCTGTCCCGTGAAGCCCGAAGTAATCAACGTCGATTATTGACGGCCTTCGGTATTGATACCGACAGTGATCTTCTTAAATTCAATCAGCTAAAGGTAGGGTTAAAATTATTTTATTTTATAGTAAATATAATATTTTTATTTGCCAAGCTTCTGTCATATTTGTTTAATTATGTAGTTTAGGAAAAAGCAGTTGAAATTTGCCAAATCTGGAATACACGATTGGGGTCTATTTGCTATGGAACCAATTGCAGCTGATGAAATGGTTATAGAATATGTTGGCCAAATGGTTAGGCCAGTTGTTGCTGATTTAAGAGAGTCTCAATACGAAGCTACCGGTATTGGTAGTTCTTATCTTTTCCGTATTGATTTAGATACAATTATTGATGCAACGAAGTGTGGCAATTTAGCACGGTTTATTAATCATAGCTGCAATGTAAGTATCAATGTTATTATTATTTGTAAATAAAGGTAGAAATGCCATTTATTCCTGAGAGACTATTAATTATTTATTTATTATACTTTCAGCCGAATTGTTATGCAAAAGTAATTACAATCGAAAGCCAAAAGAAAATTGTAATCTATAGTAAACAACCAATAGGAGTTAATGAGGAAATTACATATGATTATAAATTTCCATTGGAGGATGACAAAATTCCTTGCCTATGTGGAGCTCCTCAATGTCGGGGTACCCTGAATTGAACCGTTCATAAAACTATATTGTTCACCCTTATTTCCTGTCTTCTACACTGTCATCATACCCTGCTCATATTTTTGTAAATATTTCCCCATGTAAACATTTTATAAAATGCAATGGAAAATGCTAAATTATGTTAATATGTGCTCCTTTTCTTTTTCTAACGTCCTTCTCATTATGATGATATATTAAATACCTCAGCAAATTCGATAACCCATATATTTTCATTATATATATATATATATATATATATTCATATATATATTGGTGTTCTAGCGTTTAAACGAGGCGAATGAGGAGGAAGTCCCGATATATTCCCTCGAGTGCTTGTGACGACGGTTTGCTCTTTGGGACGAGGGTGAATTGGAATCTGTGAAAAAACGACTCCCTCAGTATTTCGAATATAGAAAAGGACAAGCGATTGAAAAACAGAGAAAAAGCTTCTGTTTCCCCTCGGCGATTAGAGATGGCGTGAACTGCTACTTGTGAATCACTTGTGATTCGATCACGTTCGTTCCCAATCACGGTGATTTTTCAGTGATTCATGATTTCTCGTGATCGTTTCTGATTGGTGGAGAAACCTAACAGTTCTTTCACGCGACACATAATCTGTATATTTTATATTAACGACATCAACACAAAAATTCCAGTTATGTCGTATAAAGTGGAGGAATAATTAGAAACAATGAAGAATAATGAATAAATGAATGATTATAAATTATAATCTACATGTTACCTAGCAAATCATTCTTTTAGAATTTCTTGTTTCTTCTACTGGTTTTTACAAACACAAATAATAATGTAATTCGTCGTAAAACCATAATGAATACGTTTTTCTGTTTAAAGATCAAGGACTTGCGATCGCAATGAGCAAATTCACTCAAGATAACAAAATCGCAATCACGGTCGTAAATGAAGTTAAATCACGACCGTGATCGTGATTCAGTGATCACTGTGATAAATCACCGTTAGTGATTTTGCACGCCATCTCTAAGTGAAACCGTTTTGTAATTTGATTATTTGTATGCAATCCTTTAAGAAATATCCATTCTTTCTGAAATTGTCACATGCTTCTATATAAATGAAACTGTGTGGTGAGTGACAGTGAGTGGTAAGAGACCCCGTGTGTGTGAAAAAGTAGGCTCATAGCATCCCAGGTGCATACGCAAGAACCCAGTGTGTGTAAGGAAGTGGGGTCATAGAACCCCCGGAGGAGGCGCCAGAGACCCCGTGTGGTGAGACCGTGGGGTCAGACAACCCCCGGTTCATGCGCAAGAGACCCGCGTTTGTGAGGGAGTGGGTCATAGAAACCCCTGAGCATGCGCAAGAGTTTTGAAACATGATTCTTTATCGTTCTTGCTCGTACGAGTCTCGAGTTCGGTCTAATGTTGCTCGTGCAACTGTCGAAATCTGACTGACACTTGTGCGTGCTTCCGTGAGCAAATTATATGTATAGTAACCCCAGTAACCATGGCAGTTTCTGCAGATACTACTACAGCCCAAGTTTAAAAGACGTAGGCAGTAGTTAGTTTCTGTAGTAACCTGTTGAACCAGACAACTATAATTAGTATAGGATTGTAGAATATTTATGCAGTTATATTTAAGACAATTCGATGAAATGAAGCTTATATTACCTGACGTATGTTTATTGGAATATACATATGTACATATAAATTATAATTATATCAAAGGTTGAAATACAATACGATGCGCTACGGTACAATACGTCTATTCGATTCAATTGCTCTCTTGCGACTACAACACCATGCTATCCGCGTTCGGCGCAGTGCGCTAATATGGAGGCCAACGAAATATCGCTGTAACACTTAAAAAAGTTTTGCAGTTCCATTTATATCATTGTCCTATGAAAATGTTCGTACTTCCAGCAACATTCATATTCCAATCAAAGAATTTACAGAATAAGGAAAAGGAATCTAAAGTAATTTTCAGTAGTTCTATACATCTTTATCTCGAATAATTTTCTAAAACATTCAAAGTACTAGACATTTTTACACTTTGAATCTCATATCGATTTCTAAAATAATCCTAGTTCGATGTAATATAGAACGTGGTTTTATGAGATAGATTCGAAGTTCGCAGCCATTAGCTCGATATTGTCATCAGTTTATAATACTTTACCGATGATAATACCGATTGCCCAGGTCTCACCACGAGGAGGTTGCTGCGAGTGGAGGCCCAAGGCAGGTAGATGGAATCACAAGTTCTACATCTTCCCACCTTTCACAATAAACCTTATAAATAACTTAAATCTTAACTATCTAATAATATCGGTACTAAAATCCCTCGGCGGATGACTTCTTTCTTGAGCCTAAACCTATAAAAAACTAAGTTCCCTCGTCGGTTGTCTTCCTTTTCAAATTCAAATTTCGCGTTAAATTGAACTACAAATGTATTTTAATGCAATTTTAACTAAGTTTACCAATTACTATTTATTTATTTATGGAAAATATGATATAGCCGTAGTGATAGGCTTAATAAACAACGCATATGTACCACTTAACTGTTTTTTATTGAAACAATCTGAAGAAAATACACAATTTACAATAATATTTGAATATATTTCACAACAATTGCCTTAAATACTACTTATATATACGAGTTTACAATACATATAGTTGTAACAATATGTGCATAAATTCAGTAAAACATGGCTTAAATATTATTCAGACTTATAACTGTAACTTGTAAATCTTCCGTACGATGTTCAAAGCTTCATATGTAATAGTTTCATACGTTTGTCGTCGAAATTTCCATTCTTGGTGACATACTAATAGATGTCGGACTCCTGTGGAAGGGTTGCGAGGCAGGACACATCGCGAGTCGTGATTCACGACACATATTTTTGTGGGAAGTAAATGATAGATACGCGCTCTCACTCACACATTTCATTCACCACTGCCATGTGTCCGCACACTGCACGCCGTTGCCTGCGGCCCGCCAGTGAGTTTGAGGAGCGCTGAGTTGCCCATCACTGCTCTAGACTCTAAAAGGAATCGCGCAGCAGTCGAAAATTTGCAGTCTCTTGCAGTCTCTTGTGAGCTGTCGAGGTGGTTGGTTGTGTTTGTCACATCTCTCCCCTCTCTTGATACTAACCCCTTGTATGTTACAGATGTTCGACAACCATTGGCTTCGATATTTATCTTCTTATTTACTGTGCGTTATTTACTGTTTTTTATTGTGATTTATTTACTGCGCATATTGTTAATTTATTTACTGTCTATTTACTTGTTTAATATAATTTATTAATCTATTCGTCTAACTGAATTTATTTTACTAACAGTGTTCTTTGTGTATTATATAATTAAAAATATTTTTTCACTCAGTTGTTCCATCGAAAGAGGACATCGATCAACGTCTACATCCTCAAAGTGTCTACCACTGAGTCATGTTATTGTAAGTTAAACTTAAATCATAATTAGATATTCATTGTTCAAATCATCATTACATATTCATTACATCGTAATGATAATTATTATTATTAATTTTGGGTCTATCGATTAATAGACTTAAAATGTAACCATCCATTGTGCATACTAAGCTGTTATTAATTCATTTTACTCGTTGATTCTCTAGACAGACTTACTTGACTTAGGGTATGGTCAGTGGGTCCGTACTTAGGGGTAGTGGGTCCGTACACTAAAACTGTTTAGCCTTTACCTGAGAAATAAGATTTGGAGAAAAATTCGTGGGTGCTGTGTAGGGTGTGGGGTGGATACCTGCTCCATACCAAAGAGGCTCGCTTGCACTACGATACTGGCGCTGATCCGTGGTTCGGGTCTGCTACATACGGGACTAGCCCACTATGTTCCACGGCAGTAGGGGATGGATACGGGTTCGCGAGCCGTCGCCTTTCTTCCTCTATTTAACCCAGGGTGCCAGACTTTATCGTTCTTTGTTTTTAACCAGGCTCTGGCAACATTTTCGCATCGCGACCTTCTCATATTATTTTGCTCAGTTACTTGTTCATACTGTAGTGTAACGTAGTTTATCATACACTTAATAACAGCTTGGTATATATTACGTGCGTAAACAAAATGATCGATGGAACTGTTTTCATTCCGTCTATCTCTTTCGTTTAAGTATTAGCGACTACGTTGCATGTAGTTTAAGTTATTTCGTATTAATAGCATTAGAGTATTAAGGTTACATTCAATAATAGAGTCAATATTAGAATATTAAGATAATATTAGTTCTAAGCTGAAGAACGAAGACAACCGACGAGGGAACTTCGTTTTTTATAGGTTTAGGCTCAAGAAAGAAGTCATCCGCCGAGAGATTTTAGTACCGATAGTATTACATAGTTAAGATTTAAGTTATTTATAAGGTTTATTGTGAAAGGTGGGAAGATGTAGAACTTGTGATTCCATCTACCTGCCTTGGGCCTCCACTCGCAGCAACCTCCTCGTGGTGAGACCTGGGCAATCATTATTATGTGGTATATAATTGGCAACTATAATCACCTACCAGTTGACGAATTATATAGCAAATCATATGAGCTAATTGACTACGAGGTTGTTAATTTTGATCGATTAATTCTTGTTGCTAGCTTTCTTACTCGCTAGTTGTGAGCGGCGAGAATCTCTTATTCTGTGTATAATCTGTTCGCACCATGACAAACGAGGCATAACTGATTAAAAAAACCATTTTCGAAGATTTATATTTTGTAGAGCAAACTTTAAGGAATGTGGCTAAATTCTGTTCAGATGTTTAACCAACACTCGACAGACCTCGATATTTAGTTTTCAAAGTATAAATATCTTCCTGTTTAGTCTCGGCAGTCGTCCACTTGAGAGTATGTTGCGCAAATTACGCTCGAGAGTACTGTCACACGACATACGACAAACACACAGACGTTTGACATACAGTTGAACTGAAAAAAATACTCTCGAAAGCAACTCGCAACAATCAATAATATTCTATCCGATAGAGGTTATGTCTCACGTTGAATTTGTTACGAGTTTGTCTGTTTGCATAACTAATAACTACTTATATTGAATATGAATTAAGCATGATATGAAATGTAGTTGATTATAACTAAAAATATCTAAAAACATTGAAACATTTTAT